GGCAGGGTATACACCATGTAAAATATAAGAGTGGTCTATCTGCTGATCTAAATCCTGAGGAGCCTTTCAAGAGAAAATTTGTCAGTGAATATCCATGTGCTGAGTTACCACCATGCATTTAACAGTGATGAAATTGCTTATTTTGGCATATCTTACCCATGAAATGCTTGTAATTAACTCAAGGAAAAAATGCACTAAACTTTACAGCACCAAAACCAGAATAACTCTTTCAGCTGTGAATGTACTGCAAGATTTCTCATTTCAGGAGTGTCATGTAATATGGTATGGCATGGCTGTCATCAAAGAGGTTGATGACAAAGAGAGCTTGTTCAGTGTCTGTTGATGTGTGTGGTGGAGGACACTGCAGCCAGGACACAGACTTGAAGTCACCAGGGTTACTGGAGGGAAAACATCCCATCAGCTAAAGCAGGCGGCATTTGCCAGCTTGGTTCACTTAGCAACAGTTCAGTGTTCCTGCACTCCACTTAAGACAAATGTTCTTCACCCAAAATACAGTTGCCTTAATGTGTTGAGAGGGAGACTGGTGGCTTCCCCACACAGTGTGAAACACAGTAATGCAGGGAGCTGCAATTCCAGTACCCTCAGCACCACACGAAATAATACCATTAGCTGACTCCATATGCCACACTTCCACTAAAGTTCCATCAGGACAGCAGAGTTCTGCTTCCCTTCGGTTCAGCAGGAACTTTCTCAATGTCACAAGGGCTAAGCTGCCCTTCTGGAGGAATACAACACAACAGTAAAAATAATGTAACAGTAATCACTTGAACCTACAGAGGTTGTAAGAAAATATTACACACTCATCAGTGAAGCTTTCTGTATATTTCTGTACACTTTCTGTACACTTCTGCACAGAGGAAGACTCAAAACACAGTTATTTCAGATAGGAATATTAGTAGAAAATTTGCACTGAAATTGCTTTAGAAATAATTGGAACAAAAGTAATACACGTCATAAACACTGAAAAATTTATTTTGTAATGAGCCATGACTAGCTTAAACAGTATATTTCACTCAAGAAAAAGGAAGAAGTGAAAGATGTTTCACTGCCTTTTACTTGCTGAAGGAAATGGCACTGAAGACAATTATGTTGTTTTCCCTTTAGCTGAGTATTTTGGGAGATGGGGTGATAAAAGAGTATTTATTGAGTTCCCATTGCTTTTGAGTATCTTAAATCTTTTGAATTTTAAGAATTTGCCTCAACCTTTACATAAAGAAGTGACAGTTTCATATCTGTTCATATTTTGGTGAATTGCCAGCCTCACAATTCTGAGGCAGCTGTCCTTAGACATGTGATTCGGTTTGCATAAATATTCCACAGACATATCCCCCATCTCACAACAATCATGACATTTGAAATGTTACATCAGTTATTAACTGTACAGAAACCAGGAGAGAGCTTTAAGCCAGCTCTCACTCACTTGTGAGCCTGATTTGCCACATAAGGTAGTGGTAGTGCCTGGTAACACTGCCATACTGAAATCCCAGCCCTCTAGATATGGCTTTATTCTCAGCAGTATAAGAGATGGAAAACAGCCATGACCACTTTAATATTTCATCCTTAGGAAAAGACTTCTAAAATTTTACTTTATAAGGCTTTCTCTAGCCTCAGGTAAATGATCTAATGCATTTCCAGGGAGGAAGTGTATTTTTAAACCTTGCCTGCTGATACTGCAGTTTGGTAGGGTGTGCTCAGTAGAATGGTTATTTGCTCTAAAACATAAAAATAACCAGTGGCGGTGCTGAGGTGATGATGAACACTAGTCACTCATGTCTGCACTCAGAGCAACAGGGAAACGCCCATAAGTTCAGGAAGTAGGAGAAGACTCCATCTCTGTTTACATGCTCATTGGATGACTTGTTTGGTATACCAGTTTAATCCACTGGATCCCGCCAAGGCCTCCAAACTATAGGTAGCTGCTCAAATCAGCTTGTCTGCACTTGCAAATAAACCACACTCACTTTTTCAGCTTCACCAATTCCAGTACTACAGATAAATGTGAGCAACCCAAGAGTTATGTGCACACAGCACAGATTGAACTCTTATAGCACGTATGTGAGAAAATGAAACAACTCTTCAAGCTCTGCTACAATTCAAACACTTTTAACATGAAAATATACTCAGGCCATCAGAGATGGCAAAAGCTGTTCCGGGGACTAGTTTGGGCAAGGGCTTAGATTTAAAAGGCTTGAATTTCCTTAAAATAATAACCAGTTCTCCAGCATAGACAAGAACATTGAAGGTCTGTTTATGTTTCCTTTATCTGCTACAGTCTCATAAAGACTTCATACTGTAATCTTTGACTTGTTATGTTAGAGAAAATCCCACAGACACAGAAATAAGAGGTAATCGTATGCCCACCCCTTTTATTAGCACCATGCCTCACCCACTTGGTTATTCACACACGCAGCAGTGAAAACTACACTGCTCATCTCACCTGGCTCTTACATTATCTTTTGTAATGGCAAATTGCAGTGCCCCTCAGCTACAATAAATCCAGGCAAGTTTTCTTTTCAAGACAGCTACATCAAAAATTGCAAGCCAGAGATGTAAAGCAGACAAAGGCAAAAAAAAAAAACCCAAAACTTTTGGTTTAGCTTATGCTGATGTCATTCTAGAGACTTCACTTTTAGTTACTGGGCATTTCCACCTTTATCAGAGCAGAATCCATCTCCCAAGGACAGGTTTTGTTGTAGTAAACTGGTTTTACTCCATCTGGTTTATAAAGTCCTACCCTTGGTGTATTTACATGGCCATAAGCAAGTCAGAACACCTTTCAGAGAAGTGAATTGCAGACAGCCAAATCACAGCCCTAGGCTGATGCAGAAGTGGGTAGGGTTTTTAAACTTTCTGCAGTTAGCGTTTAGGCACATAAAAGCACCCCACCCTCGTGCCCCAGGCAAGAGAGAATACTCAGACATTGCAGAGTGTACTTCATGCATCAGGATACATCATTTGGCTTTAAACAAGGTCAACAGATTTCAGAAAAATGAGAGAAGGGGGTAATACATATGTGCCTTAAGACAGTATGCTGACTAACATCCCAGATACTCAGTGGCAATGTTTAGGGTTGTTGTGCCCAGCAAACTGTTAAATAGAAGTTTTATGATGCTCCTGACACTCTGGAAGAGAAGAACCCATAAAGCTCAAACTGGAGTTTCTAAACTCAGAGCCAGTATCCTTTTTTATTACTTTCCATTATGACTTTGCTACTACAGATGATGCCCATAGAGGAATTAAAACATGTAATTGTCCTGAGAACACTACTGTGTCAGCCCCAGTGCTCCAGTGCTGTTCTGGTACCACAAGATTATTGAGAGGGTACATGGATAATATCTTTCACTGTGTAGCCAAACTGGTGTACACTTAGAAGAAAAAATAATCAGATCACTAAAATGTCAATGCAGAAATACCAAAGAAAATAAAACCAAGGAGCACATTTTCCTTTTGGTTCCTCAGGGAAACTAATATCTCTGAAGGGAAGTGGTATGTTCAGCCAATAGCGATCAATAATTTTATTACCCAGTGCACAGTTTCCTACACGTTTTTTTAAATTATTTTGCTTACCCCAAACTCTTCTGATCACAAAAGGAATCAAAGAAACCAAACAACAGCATTACAGTGCTTAATAAACACTGTATTGCAATGAATGTGCTACTGTGTGCACATACTGGTAATCTTAACTGAACAGCAAGAGAAACACTCTGCAGTGTGCCATAAACATGCCAGGATCAATGACACATGGATAATCTGTTTTCCTCAAGGAAAACAGATGAGCAGTTTTTGAGAGGAAGGTTTCAGTCTGACTGGTTTGCCAGTTGAAGAAAACATAATATCCATCACTACTGTGATTCTGCAATAAACATAGTGGATTGTCACTGCATAGTGCCTGATGGCATTCTAGTTCCCAGCTCTGCAGGAGCTCCAGCCAAGTGCTGGGCGAGTCATGTTTTTGCAGTACTGTGTAAACACCAGGTAAATTCATAGGAAAATGGAGTCAACACAGCTAAACAATACCAACCTGAACAAGATCTTTTTCTAGAGTCATTGTCCATCAGTGAATACTGATGACAATATTTCCTTTACTCTAGATGCAGCACACTAAACTCACACACCCAACACATGGCACCATCGTTCCAAATTCCCAGTCCCAAACAATCTGTAATCTCACTTGGGGTGGGGCATACTAGTGTTGCTCTAATTAAGGCAATGATAATGCACAGGATGACTTTTTCATGTGTTATGTTCCTGTAAAATCTTACTGGAATCTCACCTGGCAAATGATCTAAAATCTCAAACTTTCTGTTGTTTTTGTGCAACTCATCTGTTAGCATGTCTGTACAACAGAGCATGAGTAATTTAAAATAGGGACCATCCTTGAGATTGAAGGAAATACCCTGTGGACTTGGAGACATGCCATCACAAAGCTTCAGAGTATCCAACCTCTTGATAAATTTACAGCAGAAGTTCTATTAGCACTTTCGCTGTTGTGCTCAGGAGTCCATTTTTAACATATTTAAAAATTAAAATATTTGCAACATAAAATTAGCTGAAGGTTTAAAAAAACAAACTCAAAACCCAAAAAAGGGGCAGATTTAAAAAATGCTTCCAAACTGCCTCAACACTTGGGGTATTGTTCAGCCGGTTTTTTTTGGTAGATGGTTACAAAACATAGTACAACACCACATAATGTAAATTCCCACATTTGCTACTGAAAATATTATTTCTGAATCAATTTCACCCCCAGATAAAATCTCATACAAGGTGTGACCTAAAGGCCTCAAGTTCTCATATGTCCAAAAACAACTTGTTGTAGATGGGCTTTGAATGCTTTGATACTTTTTACTGTAGGAGAGTAAAAGGTTGCTATCATCACTGTCAAATACTCTTTGAAGTGTGTGGATCTATGAAAACTCATAGTCAAAACTGCAGCAACTGCTAACATGTTATCACACCTACAGCACTCAGTGCTTACGCACCTCTTACCTCCAGACTGTCTCTGGTCTCAATAGAGATGGGAGTTACATAAGGCGAAGAGAAAATAGTGTCCTTATCTGTAGCAGGAACCAGGCAGGAAATTAATGCAGTTCTGACACACAAGTCAAGGGCAGGATCCAGTGAGAGCATGTGGGTGCCTGTACCCCATGTGCAGCTCTCAGCACAGCTGTGTGAGGCATCCATGCACAGCTCGGGGCTGTTTGGCTCTGGGCAGTGCTGGAGGAACCACTGGGACATCATCCCTGCGGGCTGGGAGCTGTTGTTGTTATGGCTTCCTCAGCTCATTCTGTCAGTTCTGACAGTTACAGCTGAAAAACATTTTGTACAAATCAGTTTTGAGAAGAGTAAATCCATATGGGGAAGCCAGGTGTACAGCTGACAGAGACAGGAAAACCACTCTCCAGCAGTGCCTTTGAGCATCAGGGAACTCTCTAATCCTGAACTGCACAGTGCAGCCACAGCTGGGATTGCTCCTTGCCACAGTCACAATCTCCCTGTTTCTCCAGTCAAATTTCTTCATTTTCTCTTCTTTCCCACAACCATGACAGTGCTGCTCAGGTCACACTTCTCCCAGTGAGTCCCTCAGTTACACTTTTTCCCTTTATGTGAGGAGATGTTCCTGGGATAAATGCTTTTGCAGCTCGAAGTGGAGAGTTGTGGCTCCCTTGGCTGTGGCCAAAGGGCCAACTGTGCTATCCATAGTGGGGAGCACTCCACACTGAGGCAGACTGCCCTCCCTGGCACAGGACACTTGCAGGGACATTTCTTACTGTCTACAGCTAGGCCAGGGAAGGTTTAGGTTGGTCACTAGGAAAAAATTCTGCATGGAATTGGTGATTGGAATTGGAACAGACTGCCCATAGGTCCTGAACTCACCACCCCTGAAGTGTGTAAGACTGAACACGGCACTTGGTGCCAGAGTCTAGTTGACATATTGGTGCTGGGTCATAGCTTGGATTCCATTATCTTAAAGAACTTTTCAGCCTGATTCTGTGAGGTGACGCTTGGCCTTGATCCAGACGCCAGCCGTGGCGTGGCCGGCCCACGCTGGCCTAAGGGACAGAGCAGCGCCAGGCATGCCCAGATGCAACAGGAAAGTCTACGAGGACCTCGGAGATGCCTCGCGTCCCCCGCTCGCGGGACCGGGACCGGGACCGGGACCGGGACCGGGACCGGGACCGGGACCGGGACCGGGACCGGGACCGGGACCTCCCTCAGGCTCCGCGCCCGCCCCTCAGCCCCACAGCGCCTCGCGCGGCACGCAGGCGCGAGCGCTGGCGCCGCCCGGGCACGCGCAGCGCGCAGGCGCGGGGCCGCCCCTGCCCGGCCGCGGGAGGTTGGAGCTGAGGGGAGCGGCGCCGCTCCGCTCGGTTCTTTCCCCCTTGGCCCGGGTCCTGAGGGCTCTGTGCTGCCCCAGGGGCCTCTCTGTGCTCCCCCAGGGGCCTCTCTGTGCTCCCCCAGGGGCCTCTCTGTGCTCCTCAGCCCTGCGGGTCGCTGCTGTGGCTGCGCTTTTGGGGTGCCGCACCTCAGAACCAGCTCCACGGGTCTGTGGCCCTGCTTATGGGCTGCCCTGTCTTCGTCCTGCTTCTCTGCGGGTGGAGAACTAGCAAGGCAAAAGTTTGAGTGTTAATAGTAATGTGTTAATAGAGTGTTAAAAGTATTGAGCCTTTTGTTATTGAGACAGTAAAAAGAGTACGTGCCTTTATATAATGTAGCTATAAGCAGGAAAACAAAGGACCTAGTTACAGACGTACCCAAAGTGCAAAAGTCAAGTAAGTACTGAAAAGTAAAATTATCTTTTCCCCTTGTAATTCAGATTTTCCTTGCTGCACAGAATTTTTTTGTGCGGTGAACAGCATTACCGGTTGAGAATGCCAAGGATTCTTAGCCGAAGATACAGGGAAAGGATTTTAAGTGTGCAGGAGATCTGTGAATGTGCTGCCAAGTAACAGCATTAGCAAACCAATGGAAAAAGTATTTGTTATGGTCATTTAAAAACGAATTTGCATTAGAAAGTAAAGGCAGAGAATCGTAGGATTGCTTGGGGTTTTTAAAGTTATCTCTTAGGTTTAAAATTATTTTGCTCCTTGGAAAATTCTTACTACATATTTGTGATATAGAGTATGCATAAGAATGTTTTTGCTTTTTCTAGGCTCTTCCTTACAAAAAGAAGTAATAGTATTAAACTTCCATTATATTTAATGGATGCTGTGGTTTCCTGTTTAATTGATAGATTGCTAAAATACCCAATTAACTAGACTCCTTACTAAGGTCTGGGTTTTTTTAATAGAGTACCATATGTTCAGTTTTGAACAACTGGGGGGAATGTTGACTTCTAAGATAAATGAGGACCTCCATCCTTTGGTATCAAGCCCAGGGTTGCTGGGCTATTAAGGCTTTGGCATACCGAAGCTTTGGCAGTTTTCATCTGTGAGGGGGAAGCCCCTTGTGCCAGCCCTGTGTTGCCTAGTTGTGGTTCGCAGGATTTTATTCTCAAAAGGCTTGTGTTTCAAAACTCGTAATTGCAATTTGCAGGTGAGTGGAGGTGTAGCTTTTGATTTTCCAGCTGCATTCTGGTCATTAGTAGGTGGTTCACAATTGCTAAATGAAATTAAACATTGCCAAATCGATTTGAAGTTGGTTCGTGCTGGGAGGTGTGACTTAACCATTTTAATTAAGGTGCCTTTGTGAGTGATCTTGGGATGTTTCCTGTTAATTAAAACTTCCACCTGTGTGAGTAATTACTTTTTAAAGCAGCATCCCCAGAAGGATCACATGAGACTGGATACCAAATTATATTGTTCTGCAGAAAAGATTGTTTATATTTGTGGACAACAAAAATCCTCCTGGCTCCACAGAGCTTTAGGAGCAAGGGGAAAAATAATATATACAATGGATTGTAAAAGACTTCATGGCAGTTAGTTGTGTCATGGATCCTCTCAAAGAAAAGCTGTTCACAAAGCAAGATGCTACTTAGCACATGAAGCAGTTGTGTAACTTATGCAGGTTTTTTTGAACATGCCAATTAGAAAATAAGCCTTAGAATTTCATATTAGAGCTTTTTACTCATTTCTGCAGCCACATGGCTCATTATAATCAGGTGACAGTGACACCATAATTCATTCTGTCATTTAACAGAGACAGCTATTTATCTCGAGATGGAAGAGTCAGTGCTGGATAAATTGCCATCTTTGTGCAGTACTCCAAAGGATTCTGGGCCAGCACCTGCACAGGGCACTAGTTCAGGGAAACAGGTATGAAAACTTCCTACTTTTCCAATAATGTGATTGTTCATAGTAACAAAAATGCTGGTGAAATCATCAAGGAGTCAGAAGTCACTGAGATGCTGCTTGCTGGAAGGCTAGAGACGCTTTATACCTCTAGCTACAAGGCTGTGCAGGTAAGGAATGTGCCTGGTGTGCTTTGCTCTGAAAATGCAGATGCTTGCTGTGTGTACAAAGTGATGGAGCAACATAACCCAGTGGCCTATTAATAAATTTAAATACTATATAGGGTGTGTGTGGTGGATTTTTTGCTTCTTTCTTTCAACCTGTCATCTTCAGTTTTCTCAAATCCTGGTTTTCTGGGTTGCTGTGAATGCAGAATGACTTTCTGTGACTTCTGCCTGCAGTGGAACAAAGTACAATGCTTTCAGTTTGTGTATTCTCCATAGTGCTGAGCTCTGCTTTAGTCTTCTCCTGGGATGTGAAATGGTGATACTGCCACACTCAGCATCCAGATCTATGCAGGACAGGCCTGGTTTGAGAGTATTCTGTAACTAACCCACTCTTGTATTTTAGTGCATTTCTATAAATAAAAATGTTAGACACAGATTATAAAAAAAGAGTTATTTTGAAGAAAAAAAAATGTTTTTAGATGCTTGTAAAGTATCTCGAAGCATGAACAGGTCAAAATTATACAGGTATTTCTAATATGTTCTAGAATACAGATGTTTTGTACTAGTTCTAATGCAGATGAATGGGATGGAACAGCAGGAAAGTAACCCTTACCTCCATTAAACTAGAGGGGAAATTGGTAGAATAAAATTATCCAAGTTGAAATATGCTATATTTCTTTTACACAAACACTAGATGAGTAAGTTTGCCTCAACAGAATACAAGATTTTGTCAAGAAAATGTGGAGCTACACCTTTCCGTATCTTGCATGTGTGTGTGCAAATACAAGTGAAAGGAAGATGTTGAATTTGTTCAAGTGTTTGAAGGCTATACAGACAATTAGGAAGTCTGGCTTTACAATGATCGTTAAATATATTACATATTCTATGTAAATAATAATGATTGGTTAACAGTTATTTGAGATTTGATAAAAATTTAAGAATATTCTGACCACCTGGCTTTTCTGGGCTTATTTATTATTTTTTTAGCAAATGAGTGCAGCTCTGAGGGAACGATTAAGGAAAACAAGACGTTCATTTAATGCCAGTTTTACAGTGGCAAAGCGGCTCAAAATAGACACTGAAGAAAAAGACACTAAAGACACTGCTGGTGCTGACACAGGGTGCTTGCCAGAGGCCAGTACAGACTGTTCCAGGTTACAAGATGGTTCTGAAAACTTGGAAGGAAATGGCACTGGACATACATGTTTCAAAAGTCCCTCACAGGAGAGCGATCCCTGTGGATCAGCAGAGAACTCGGATGTGCTGCAGGTTGATCTTGGTCAGCAACAGTGCCTTGAAGAGAAAGTAAAGCTGGAGAAACAAGTGCAAGAGAAGGAAGAGCTGCTTCGTAGGCTCAGACTGGTGAAGATGTATCGATCCAAGGTGAGGCAATACTTACTGTTTTTTAGTGTGGTGGTTGTGTATTGTCTCAGTTTAAGGTATTTTTAAGAATATCTGCAGGGTATCAAAACCCCCTTAGGTCAGCAGATGATTACTTTTTTTTGTTTGTCCCAATTTCAGAACAACCTGGCTGAGCTGCAGGCTTTGATAGTGAAGTGGAGAAGCAGCACCCAGCTGATGCTGTACGAGCTGCAGTCGGCCTTTTCTGCAGATGGCAAAAAAGTGAGTCTCACTCAGCTCATCGACACTTTTGGGTTAGAAGACCAGTTGCTGCACTACAGCAGAACAGAAGAAGATTTTGTAGATGCATAATCTACAGCTGCAGAGCTTTCTTTGCACAGACACAAAAGCAGAAAAGACCGAATAAATTCTGATTGTGTCAGAAGTGTTGGTCAGACAATGGACTTTATGCCTTGGGGTTAGGAGGTTTTCTCCAGAGGTACTTGTAAAGCTGTGTGCATACATACAGTAGGCACTGTAAAAGGCATTACTTAATGGGAAAAAATCAAACTGGTGATGTTTTGGAGAATCTGGCTTAATGACTTGGTCAGTGAATTTTTATTTAATAAAAATAAAATTAAGTCATAGTTTAACAGGTAGAAAGCAGTCCATTTTTGTAATTAGTCTCTGCATGGTTACTTGTACTGAAATAACTCAAATTGTCAATACTTTTCACGTTCAGATGGGGAAGAGTTCAGTTTGTTGGTAGATACACCCATTTTACAAATGTCTTCCTGGTGCCAGTCAGCCAATGAAGGCTAACAACAGCATTTTGTGAGTTTAGTGAAGATAACTAATTTTCATGATGGTCATATTCCGGACCTGAGATAAGATGCTCTCACTGGCTTTAACTCCTGCTGAGGGAAATGTGTCATAATGTAGCTGCTTTCAAGTTCTGGTCTAGACAGTCTCTTCAGAGCTGCTGTCTCATAAGCATTCTGCCACAGCCTGAGGTAATAGAAGGGAAGGCAAGAAAATTGAAACCAGCTTCCTATTCTACTACATCTGAGAGCCAAGGTGTTTTCTCTCTTCAAATAAATAAGAAAAACAAGGCCTTGTTTATTGGGATTGCTTCAAACACAGCATCATAAAGCTGAATAAATCTTTACAATTTCATTTATTCTTCAACAACTGCCTTTTTTGAAAGTTGTTTTTATTTAACTTGAAACTGCTTACTTTCTCATCATGGTACCTTTTGTTTTTATTTTCCCTGAAATCACTGCTTCTCAAGTGTAATAATACATAAATCTTAATGACTATACAACTCTCCCTGCTAGGAATCTTGTTTTTTTATTGGTTATACCATACCTCTTTTGTTTGCAGTTGCTATAGCCTGTTTCCTTAATAAGGGAGTAATTTCTTACCTCAAAAGGAAGAAAATCAAAGATCATACAGAACCTTTTAGCCATTGGTTAAGGCTCATTAGATTTCAGCCTGTACCTACAGCTTCCTCTTAAGAATACTGACTCTTGTTGTCCAGAGAGAATTAATTCTTTATTGGGAAAGTCTTTATTGCAAATCACATTTTGAATATTAAAGCACTATATCTCTGCCTTTTTAGGCATGTGCAAAAAGATGATGGTGCCTTGTGCAGGGGCCAGTTATCTTCCCTGAGGTTGGAATGATGCTGCTTCCTAGGGCAGGTTCAGCAGAAAGACAAACGTTCTTGTAGTAAGTGGGATGTAATTAGAATCCTTACAAATCCCAATTAGAGATGGTAAAGCAAAAAAAAGGGATGTACAGGATCACAACTGACATAGTTTTTTCTTACAAATGTAGAATTTTAAGCTAAGGTATCAAAGCTATTGTTGCTCACAATGAAATGGGTTTAGATCTCATGAATTTATGAAAGAAGGATTGACACACACCACAGAGGAGGGAAATAAAAAGCAGGGAGAATGCCTGAGAAGGTAGATTGGGCTCTAGCCCAGTCACAGGTTTTCACAGGTTCTTTATTTTTCTTAGCTGTTGTTGAAGGAGCTGGCAGGAAAATACACTGCCTCTCAGTGTAAAGGAGTGGGAGATGCCAGCATCTATTTCAGGAGGCCAGATGCTTCCAAACCTGGTTTTCCTGGGATTCTGCCCATGGCAGCAGCCACAGCTCCTGCTGGCTGTGGGTGATTGTACCACAATAAGGCACAGCTGCCTTTGGGATGGGGCCAGGTCGCACACATGGTCAGGACAAGCATCCCTGCATCTGCTCAGGAACCTACACCTGTGCCATCACAAGGGTAAATTGCTATGTCAAATCCATAGACATGATGCCAATTCACAGATTTCTTTACAAGGTTCTAAATTGCATATTGTAAATAATGGACATACAAATATACCTGTTCTTCCATCAGTCTACAATTTCTTGTATCCTTTGTTTTCTGTAATGAGCTATATAGTTTATATAATAAAACCAGTAGAAATAAATCTCATCAACTGAAATATAATGGGGTTAAGACCAGATGAAAAAATACAAATCAGACAACCATGTATCTTTCAAATGGAAGTTATTTAAAGGAATTACAGAAGAAATAATTTGTGGAAAGAAAAGTTCAGGGAGAAGAATCAGCTGTCAAAACTCTTTTCCCTTTAACCAAGGTGTTATTCATCTGTTATTCATCTCTGATTTTTAAATAATATGGAGTGTTCTTGGATTACAACTTTCAATTTTTGACTGAAGAATTGCAAGCTGTTTTTCCTGTTCCCTTATAAGGTTCCGTAGGTGTTTCTGCTTCAATATCTCTTGGTAACGCTGCCTTGTGATCTTTTCAGAAATATCCCGTGTGTCTGCAGAAAACAAAGTATTAGTGTTAGCCTGTGCTCACAGGGGATGTGTAGTCTATATGGGACCTGTCCTGGGGTTATTCCAATTTCTGTATAAAATAGGCAAGCATTTTAAAATAGGCTCACATCTGGGCTTAAGAGCCTTTATAGTACTGGATAAAGCAAAATATTTCAAAAAGGCACTGGGCATGCTTTCTTTAACTTCTAGAAGGTACCCACTGTGTTGCAAATCTGTAACTGTTTTCCACTAGTGGAAAGATCTCTGTAAGTTTTCCTAATAGTGAATACTATTCTTAGCTCCACATTACTTCCTCTGTTCTCTTGGAAGGGTGGAAAGAAGCCCATTGAACAGCTCTCAGAAAAATATGAAAGCATGTTGCCTAATGAAGTTATTAATGACTGTAATAATTTGACTTGAACAGTTCCAGGAATTCAGCTAGCTTTGGTTACAAGAGCCACAAGAGTTTCCAGGTAACTCTTCAGTAACCATGTTAGATTTTGGCAGGAAGGACTCTGCTCATTGTGCAAATGCATGACAGACAGGCATTCCTTGCCCCTCAGCTGATGGTGGAGAACAGCACTGTCCAGCCTTGGAGTTATTTTCTGAATGTTCTTCGCTTGTGCCTTACAGTGCCTCACTGGACTCACCAGCTGCCTCAAAGATGTGCATCCTTTCTGACACAGAGACAAGCATTTCCTTCAGCTGCAGGCTGAGCTCATAGTTCGCTTGCTCTTTTAGATGGATGCACTTCTTCAGCTCTCTGACTTTTTTCTGATGGTTTTTCACATTCTTCTTGTGCAACTGTCCATTTTGAGATGAATAAAGCACATATATGAGATCATACAAAAACTGTTCAGACAAATTTATGATAAAAAGCTGTAATTTTAAGCACTGTGTTGTAGCTTGATTAACTCTCATGTATGTTGATTTGACTACTAGCACATTGTAAGCTTTACTTTGTAGAGTGTCTTTCACACATGGTATCTCAGTTTATGGTGTTCTAATTTAAGGAGCAGCCAAGGAATAAAGAGGTATAGGTCAGGAAGAGAGATATATTAAAGATAAAACTTGAAAGGCAAAGGGGGAAAAAAGGAAGTCAATGGAATCAGCGAGTTAAGGACATGCTCTTGGCTGCTGGGAGCTGCTGAAGCTGATATATGGGCTGTAAATGGACAAGATAAATACTAAAGCTTGGAGAGGAAGAGGAAGTTGATGCCAACTAACACAACTTGGAGAAAATCCAGTGAAATCACTTAAAAAAAGGACAGTCATAATTTGAATTATGAAATACATCAAGTAGCCAGCAAATCAGATTGTTGGGTCTCTTATTTTGAATACAAAGGGGAGGGATATTTTGAACAGGCTGGTGCTCCTGGAGAGAAACATTAAACAGTGAAGACCGAAAGAATACTTCATTAGAAATGGTGGAATGACTTTTACAGGCAGTGCTGTGTAAGAAATGATTATCAGATCTGCATTCAGATGCTCAGGATAGGAAATGATTTAATTCCAGTAACAGAGCAAGTAGACAGGCTTCATTTCTGCAGCAATCCATGTGTGACTGCTTCCAAACACTAGAGAACTGCTGCTGTAGACAGCACAGCTCAAGCTGCGGAAACTATTGAAAGCCAGATGGACAAACACATGATATATCTGTATTTATATCTATAAATATGTGTGTGTGTCTCTCAGATGTGGTGGCTCCCTTGAATTTACCTTATCCATGACACCAAGGCTCTGCTCCATCCCTGCTAGATGCTGAGCAATATGGGTTTCATAGTTCTGTACAGTTAGGAACTGAAGAAATAAAACCAGAAAGAAATTATCTTATGCCTGTTCATTCTCAACAATTCCACCCTTCTATGAAGAAAATCATACTATGTGAAACTCAAAACACTGGAATTGTGCAGTGGTAAAGCTTATTAGTGATCATAAATGGACCTTGTAAGGATATGCTTGGATGCTGTGTGAGCTAGACTGTGCAGCTGTTAAAAAGGATGTTACCTATTATATATTTTTAATGGAAGCAAGGCCCAAACAAATATGCTGAGGCTGTCAAAAACCCCAAGCTATGCTTTTGCTTGTAATCTAAGCTAATATAGCTGGAGGCCTAAGACAATCTGTCTTTAGGCTAGAGAGAAAAATTATTATTTTCTGTCTAATGGCTTCCTAATCACTCTTACTTCTTTTATTTTTCTATCTGCATAGTAACTGACATATCAGAGAATTTGTTGATTTTTTCCTTGAGCACACTGCTATTAAAATACCTCTTTATCAAATGACAAATGGTAAACACCATAATGTTTTAAGGATCTATAGCAGGCAGTAGACAGGTTTCTGTAGATGTAGATTCATCCTTCCAGAGTACTGTCCCACCAAAGTGACAGGCAGAATCCTGTGGACTGTTCTAGTCAGAGGAGGAGAAACGGGAAAGACCCAGAAGGAGCTCCTTGTCTACAGGATGAAACTTTTTTACTCACTGCTTCATTAACAGCCTTCATTCCAAATGATCTCAGGTCCTTGCCCACACACATTTTTCTAAGCTATCTTTCTTTCCATTCCTGTTGTTGGGGTATCTGTTACCTTGTCTTTCCCACTAACTACATATTTCTAATCAAAAAGTGACCTAAGTCAATTCCCTCAGGCATTCCAATTCTGATTAAACTGGTAAATGCCTTTACTTTGGGCAGTTTAACTCTCTCTGAAGGGCAAGAGTTCTGCTCATCAATTTAATGAACTGAGCTAATGGCAACACTGGTGATAAATTTGCCACAAGAATTTTTCAGTGCACTGTCACAACACCTCTTTGGAAGCTGTTCTGGTGATTAGTGTTAGTTATAAAAGTCCTGTGGCTGTGATTCAGACAAGCATTTTGTGGAGCAGCAATACAAATGAAGATTCAGCAAAACATATGTTTTGTATTTTCTTCTAATCCTTTGATTGGATTGCAATATCCTTACCTGCTGTCCAACACTTTCCTTTTCCTCTGTGCTTTATAGCTGTCCCCACTGCTGCATCTCCAGCCTACCCGTCCTTCAACATCCCTTACTCCAAACCTTTATGCCACCCACATCATCACCATATAACCATAAAATTTTCCTACACTCTTCTACATCCCATAATGCAATACCCTCAGGCTTTCCCTACAACCTTCCTTCTTCCTCCTTTCTTCTCCCAGTGGTATGCTTGGCTGTGTCGCACAGCCTTTTCCTCTTTTTCCTGGCCTGCCAGCTGGGTTGTTCAAAGCTGTGTAGGTGCTGACTTGCTGGCCGGCTGCCCCCTCCTGCCTGCCGGGCATGGCAAACGATTCCCTGCTCTGCTCTGGGCCGGCGAATGGCAGCGAAAGGAACGCTCCGTCTCCGAGTGGAGCACAGCTAAAAAATGTCAGTGCGACACCAGATGGGGGCACCTCAGACCTTCCTCTTCAAAAGGACTGCTCGATTTAAGAGATTTGTTCCTTGTGGCTGCAAAATTCTGATTCCTTATTCAATGCCAATTTTGAAACACTAAGAGTTAGAACTAACTTTGCCTTAATTTACACAGTAACATCCCAAAGAATTTCATCACTCCTCAATCTCATGAGTAAGACTTCCCTTTCAAAGATGAATTGTTAGCCTCTTAGGAATCACGTTTCTCTGGTAATAAGAGATTTATGAGGCATAAATATAAACTATCTTTCTTACAGGTATAGGCAGCATAATTTTCTGCAGTTAAAATATAAATCAGAAAAAGCAACTCACTAGCTGGCAATCTTTTGAAATAGGTAGGATTACAATATCTCGAGCCTTCTCTTTCAGATCTTGTATCTGCATCTTCATTTTCTTGTGTTCCCATTCCAGCTGTATTATCCCTTTAGAGAAGTCTTTAAATTCTACCATGGCAGTAATTTTTTTTTCTCCTTGAGCCTAAAAAAAATAGATCAATCTTAATTAACACACTTTACAGATTATGGAATAATTGTTTGCAACAAGATGGGCAAGTTTCCAAAGTCATAATTTTAGTCAATTAAACATGCCATACTGCATGCCTCTTTCCAGACTTTGCTCCAGATGGTTATCTTTTGAGGAAGTTAATTCTCTTTTATGCTCTGTGTCACAGCCTTAGATCATAGAAATAGATGAAGAAAATGACAACTAAGCTCTTCCTCTATCTATCTATCTATCTATCTATCTATCTATCTATCTATCTATCTATCTATCTATCTATCTATATCTTTTATAAGAATGGAAAGGCCTTTTAGGTCTACAAAATACAAGCTTGCTCTGTTTAAGGTATTTTGCATATGTTACTGAAGGCTTTGTGCAGTAGCAGTAAAAGACAATTTTTGTATAGCTAGAATGCCTTAAAAAAGAACATTTCATGAGAGTATGAAAAACTGTTTTAAGTATCATCACCAAATTCACCTTACATAAAAAATATTAATTTTTAAATTTAATGTAAGCTACTATTTGAATGCTTCTTAACATAACTGTAAGTTTACACTCCACCCCCCCACCAGGGAATTTTTGGACTGGTGCCCATGATATTAGCATTTTCTAGTTACAATGTATGTGTAAGTGATGGTGTGCCTAAAGACTGTCACCATTTCATTGATCTGTATTGTATTGATCAAACATCAAGAAAGCAGTCTGCACTGCAATCTCTACATCATGAGAAGAGACATTAGAGAATGCTTAATAGCTTCTAGATTACAATTGAGCCTGCTGGTGTGTTGTAATGAATTGAAACTAGATGTCAGACTGGAGAAAAAGCTGAGCCCCTGAAGGAAAATACATTTGTTTAGAAAGCTAAAATTTCCTCCAGATAATGTAAATTACCGCAAGAGCACAATTCAGTTCTTCAACAACCCTCCTATCAATGAGAATAGCATCACTGTACTCTGGGATCTGAGTACTTCCCAATTCCACCTGTCCTTGTTTCAGCAAAAACTGGACAGTCAAATTCTGCTGAAGTTTCATCTTCTCCTCCTTCAGCCTAAGATGGCAGAAAACAAAAACAGCATTTAGTGATTTCAACAGGATTATAAAAATCCTCCCACGATTCTCAATGTTTATATTTATTATTGGTAGGTGGTATGATCATGTAGGGCTTAATCTTTGACAGACTCTGTCTTCTGTTTGCTGCTAAAGTGACTACAAAATCTGAAACTTATGGGGCATACATATATATATATACACACACAAAAAGTTTTCAAGCACTGGATTCAGTTTAACATACACTAGCAACGTTCTGGGGAAAATGTTATTAATGAAATAAAATCTTAATATCAATTGGAAAGAAAACAGAAGAGACTTCCAGCCAGGGCCCATTTTCCTGAATATTTACTTTGGAATTGATCCTAGAATGATAATCAAAGTGAAAATTATGTTACGTAGATGAAAAAAATGAAATATTGCAGGTCCAAGCAGCAACGAAACCTAGATAAAAGAGTGCAGGAGAAAAGAGGTGTATAATTTTGTTTGTAATTTTTGGTTCTGTGTTAGTGGAGTGTTAAAGGTCAGCTGAACATAGGAAAAGACACAAAATTACCAAATGAGTTCTTGGAAAGTGCTCTCTAATTCTGACTTCATCTTGTCATTTTCATCCGTTCTTCTCTGGAGACAGGCCTGCATCTCTGCCAGTGCTAGGGCCTTCCATTTCACCTAGGCAAGCAACACTGTGACATTCCCAACTCTTTCAACTTTGTCAGTATGTCAGGGCAAGCTTCTTCAAGGACAGAGAAGCAAAGGTCTTAAGAAGATATCTGTATATATAAATATGCAGCCCAGTATTTTGAGAATCTCAGTACAGCATATCAGACATAAAGGTTACAATCCTTATACTCTGCTCAGGAAATTATTTGTTTATATATGAATAGTTTATTCATGTGAAGGGAAATAATATTTGCTTCTCTTTTGGTCAAATTTCATGGATAATTCAGATTTATTCATTCATGCTTTTATAATGAACAAATACATCTCAAGAACCACCTTTTGTTAAGAACTGCTATTTATAGTCTAGAAAAACATTGGAATGCATTGGTGCAAGTGTAGAATGCTTATGGGAGAGGATGACTTCAACAGATAATGGGAATCAAATACCTTATAGATTTTTTTCGTATGGATAGGGAAAAGGAAAATTATATTTTTTTTTCAATGAAAAGATAAAAATAATATCTAATCATATTAAGGTCACAATCATTCTGATCAAATGCATCCATATTAATATGTTAATTTTTCCTCTGAAGAGCTACAGCTAGAACTAGAGAACAGGTTCACCTCTTATTCTGAATTGAATGTAGCCAGAACAAACTTTCAAAGGCCAATGGAGTATCTATATCCTGCATTGTTATTTCACCACTTGCTTGACCCTACATGAGAACTTCACTAAAGTTTAAAACTCAAAAATATCAAGAAGTATATGGGCAAATAAAGAATTTTACATACCAGCTCCTCACTCTCCATTTTATTTCGTCTAGCTAGACAAAAATGTTTCCATAGAGACTGGTCTAAGCCACTAGGCATGTGCTCAGGACTATCCAGTTCATCCATGGCTTTCATTAAATGGGAAAGTGCATCTTGGTAATCCTCAGGTGATCCCTTCACATAGGGGTTAGCTGTGTCAAGGAGGGTTTCTGTCCTTGAAGTCCTAGAGCACACACACAGCATAGATAGGATGTACTTTGTATTTTCTCTTGCATAGAAGAAGGTCACAAAAAACCAAGAACATTTCATACTCTCAATCTCTTGCAAAAAGCAAATAGATAGGACTGTACAAAATCAGAATATTGTCTTGGAACCTGATGATTGTTTAGATTGCATTTAAAACAGATTTTGTGGAGTGAATAAGGAAATGTATATTAAAAATAGCAATTGTTAGTGTGATGGGAAATTAGTTGTTGTTAACTATCCAATAAAAAACAGGCAATATAATTTAGACTATTAGAATAAATAGTATTCTCATTCTTGACTCAGAAGAACTATTAGTATTTAAACAATGGAATTGGAGGGATCTTACTCTGGTCGATGTTTGTAAAGTTGTAAAAGCTCCTCAAAGAGATTGCCAGGTATATGAGCAAACTGCTTCATAAAACCATGTTCCAGGCTCTGGGAGTGGGAAGAAAGCTTTATTGTTATCACAATATCATTTTTTAAAAAAGCATCAACCTGCCTATATCTTAGAAATACAGGATACAGTGCTTATCCAAGTGGTCCCAATCATCACAGGAATCTGCACTATTTCATAAATTCTTCTATGCAGACACTGTCCTTTACTGCCTAATTGCACTGATCAGTGAGTTGGCCAGAACTCTTGCTTACAGATCAGCACATTCTTCTCATTATGAAGATAAAACATTAGCTTTTAACTTCTGTAACTCCTAGTGTTTTTAAAACTCTCACCTTCTCTTCCTGTAATGCATCTGTATAGGGGCCTCTGTAAGCCTCAACACCATATTTTGTAGTCAGGATTTTCCTTGCACCCTTGACCTAGAGTAAAACCAGGAGATTTCAGGAATGAAAAATCCAACAGAAGCAGTGAATGGCTATTCACATACAGTGATGAAGCTCACACCTTCTTATTTTTAGAGACAACCTTGTGAGCTATTTTAAGTAACCATGTAGTAGTGCCTTCTTCAGGGGTCACTTTGTAGGTACTGCTAGAAGATGAAGAGCTGTGAAATGAAACAAACCTGCTGCTTAAGAATGTAACAAATTTGTGTAAGAAATGCTTACAAGCCTTTTGAAACATTGAATGTAACATATGTTGATACTTTTTTTCCTATAGAGATTTCTTTTTACTTTTTATGTCATCTCAGGTAAGCAGAGTCAAAAAATCTCAGATGTTGTTCAGTGGAGAGTTCTTAACTTTAGAATGCAATTTCTCCAATGTCATGGCAGAGTTCTGCTATGTGTCAGGATAATAAAGTCATGTTTTATAGAGGTTGTTAAATGCTAATACTCTGGTGGGATTGTATTTGACGGTTTCCATGGACCAAAAGTTGTACCAATGGGACCATTTGGAAAATGAAGGAAAAAGAAAAAAAATGAAAATTGTAAGCTGGTATACACTTGGCCTCAGATAGCTTTAAAACTAGTCCAGCTAATTCAGTGGTGGGGGCTAGATGCCTGTTTGGAATTTCTCCCTGGCAGCTCCAAACACACACAGGCTGAGCAGGAGATCTGACATGTGGAAGCAGCAGTATATTTATTATCTGTGGGCTCATGAACAGCTCCATGAAGACAAAGTGGGCAAATGGGATAATATTGTCCCAAAAGCCAAAACCAACTGCAGACTGCCACAGTAAGAGACTTGCATTGAAACCTAAACCTGCTACTGTACTTTCAGCTTGATGCCAGGTACAAAAGAATATTATATGTAGCAAAGAAATAGCAGCATGCCATTCTGAATGTATGAAGTTTTACCAAAGCTCCAGATGAACTGAGCTGAGTACCTGTCAAGAAAACCAGAGGTATTTATAATGTATGTCACCTGTAGAAATTGAAAAAAAAAAAGACCCTGTAAATTGTTAAAAAGTCCTTTATGGCAAGATTTTGGCTTGGAAAGTGCAGACTTCATATGAAAATGTACTGTAAACATTACATTACTCCTAACAACAGAATTCCAAATGATAACTTACTTTTTCTTTCTTCTTTTTCATAAGGAATTTATGAAGTCCAGCTTCTCTGGTGTCCAACTCTTCATCCAACAGTAAAGCATAAATGAGATTGACTATTTTGAGTTCCTCCTGTGAAATGATTGTAATAAAAATAAGTTAACATTTCTGCTGCACAGAAGCAGAGATGGAAAATTAATGCTTATTGCAATACCTGGTAGATGACCATCTGTGATTTCAGTTTCTTTTCAGAGAGTTTGCAGACAATATCATCAAAATTTTGTGTTGTTTCCTTGATGGAAGCTTCAAGTTTGTTCCATTCATTTCTCAGAAACTGGGGAAGGGAAGGACATGAGCAGCAATATTACATCTGGAGGAAGAGGTAATTTTTTATGTCTCTCTCACAAAATATATCTATATATATGAGATGATAGAGAATGCACAATATAGAAATGTATTATTCAGCCAAAAGGCTACAGAAATTACTTGTTTGGAAACAAAGTTCTGGCAGGTACAAAGTTATGTTGTTCCAATACCACTTTGAAGAATAAATATAATTTTATTATTTGTGTTTGGCATCAGCAACTCTGGGAGAGAACCTGAAAAACACATTTTATAAATACTGGTACATTTGTGAAGGAAAGTTACCTTCTTAGGATATCACAACTCTTAAAAGTTTTTGCCCATAGTAATTGTTAGAAGTGGAGACTGCCTAATTCTGTCTAAGGTAAGATTTATTTAATATGCCACATGATCTTTGATGATCATTTATTCTTAGTTTATCCTATTTATTAGTATTCATTTTTAGAAGTTGCTTCTGAGAAAGATTGGAAATTTTGGTCATGAGCACTGTGAACAAACCCACATCATTTTCCTCATTTTAATTTACCTGTCTATACTCTTCTTTTTCTTCATTCAGTTCATTGACTTTTTTCTCATATTCTTCAAATACTTTAGTTTCTTCTTCAGTCCAAAGATCCTCAGGTCTGGATATAAAATCAGGAGGAGGAATATCCTGGAAGTATTGAAGAATAATATGCTTAAAAAGCAATATGAAGTCTACATCAGCATACTGACAAATGACAGCATGCACTAAATTTAACAAAAGGTATTTCTTAGTAAGATACAAGCTTTAAGTCAAAGTAACATATATATTCTGTTGCTTTGGTTTGTTTCTTGCACCAGTAATTTTAGTGTGTATATATATATATATATATATATATATATATAGACTCACTGGCTTACAGGAATTCACTACTGGATCTTGCAAAATACAAGAATTTGGTACTCAAATACTACTGTCAGTACAAGATACACCAAATTTTCTGTTTCAGAACCCCAAACCTTACTCCATGCTAACATAAGCTTCTATATGGAGTCCTAATTTTCCAAAACAGATTGATTTCAGAGGAGTGCTTGTGTCTGCCCTACCCTTGTTTTGTGGCACTCCTTGACATCCTTTCCTTCCTCTACTGCTGCACTATCTATATTTGGTGAGTTAAATAAAACACAGTGTTTTTCTGTAAGATCACAGCAGTGGATGATTGACCCTTCCCCCAGCAATATAGTTGTTATAATGGTAATAGATGTACATTAAATAGATGATGTTCCTACAGTATTCCACTGTGGTAGGAACAGGTGTTGACAGGTAATTCTACACAGGCAGTAGAATCTTGTGGTCTGTTTTTGTGTATGCTCTCTTATGGAGTCTCTCTGGTCATAATGCAATTCTACAGTTCTCTAGCTTTCTTTGGTCACTGAGATTGGAGATTTTTGCTGGTTGAATTTCACATTGCCAGAAGAGCCCACAGGTTTCCTAAAGGACATGGCAAAAACACATCTCACCAGTTTCAAAACGTCTTCCCTCCTGATTTCCAGCACTCCACCCATCATGTCATCAAGAGCGCGCAGTCTTTCATCGTCCTGGGAAGAACCACAAAAAATACTTGAAAGTACAAAAGGAAGTGTAGCAATTGCAAGTTTTAGGGATGATAACAGTGTTTACCTCTAGATTATTCAGTGTGTAAAAGCAGATTGATGCTTTTTGGGGATGTGTGTGAAACATGCCAAAAGTTTCAGTTTTTTCTAGTAAACAGTTACTCATACACCAAATAACTTACAAAAACTGCCATTTTGGAAAGAACACAGGCATAGGTTACTCCTGGCCAACTGATAAGCTATGATGAAGGAAGTTGTAATTGTGCTTTTTTTTTTTGGGGCCAGAACAATCTTAGTTTTTTTACAGAAGCATTTTAAAGCCAGAGGAACGCACTACAGTCTTCTAGTCAGAACCATGGAGAACAGAGGCTGCTGAATCAACAAACACATATCAAGCAAAAAGATCTTGATTGACGAGTAGCGTGAATTTGGGCATGTATCTAGTTTCCAGCCACCTGATATGGTGCCTGTATTTTAAATTGCCCCTAAGCACATGTTTAAAAACTTTGAGTCTAACACTATCTTTCCTCCCCACCAGCTATGTAGTTCTGATTGTAAAGAGTAATAAGAAGGAAAAGGCACATATCATCATTACCTACCAGTTTAGATTTATTCTCCCATACTACATTACTGGAATGTTTCAGTGCTGCAATAATTAAAAAAGCCTAAACAGAGACAATGGCCTGTAAAAGGGATTCCTTAATTACCGTAGCAGCAAGGCGTCTTTCCATTTCAAGCTTAGCCAGCAATTCTGCCTGCTCTTTCTCCTCTTGAGTCATGTATTTCTCAGCTTTAATCTGAAGGCAGAAAATGAAGTTTGTATCAGGGTTCTTTTCTCCAAACGTGATCACAAGGACTAAGAACCTTTAGAAAAATGGTGGTCCTGGTTTTGGCTGGGATGGAGTTAATTTTTTTCTAAGTAGCTGCTGTACAGTGCATCCCACAGCCTGGGGGTTGTGGTGAGCACTTGTTTGTTGTTTTTCATTTGCATCAGTTGGTTTTTTGGTTTTATTTCTTTATCTTTTCATTATTTTCCTCTTAATTGCATCTGTGAATATGTTTTAATTGCATTAATTACATTATGATTATAATTTTTGTAGTTATTATTATATTTTATTTCAGTTATTATATTTTATTTCAGTTTAATAACTGAAATAAAATATAATAATAACTACAAAATAAAAACTCAACCCATGAGTTTTCTCACTTTTATTCTTCCAATTGTTTCCCTCACCCTGGAGAGAAGAGGCAGGGAGTGAGCAGCTGTGTGGTGCATAGTTGCTGACTGGCGTTAAACCATGACAATGGTGTAATACAAAGTCTCAGTGCTTGCTAAATTTCTGCTCTGTGACAATAATCCTCAAGTTGAAAATTCTCCTTTTGAACAGCAACAGAAACTACATTTAAATATCCTAAAATATAAACCACCATCACTTTTGTTGCTATTAGCTGTGTTTTGTATATGCCTTCTCTTACAGTGGGATAACATGGTGAGAGAGCAAGAAAAAATGGGAAAAGATTGACCACGTGAGCAGATAAGATCAGTGGAATATATTGCATAAGAAGTATGGTGTTTCTTTGTAAATAATTAATTGAATTTATAAGTACATTACTAAGTATGCTCTAATACTTAGATTTTTAATTTAAAACTACTGTGTTTCAAAATGGCACTCAGAGAAAATAGAGAAACTCTTAACTATGGAAACAATTCCTGAAAGCCCAGTTTGAATGTCAGGAACAAAGAGCCTATATAATTTTTGGGCATTTTGAAAACTTTTAACAGCAATAAATTAAGTTTGTATACATTTTTCATTTCAGATCGACTTATTAAGCCTTTTCTCCCTAAAAAGGAAAGGGAAGAAAATGAGCCAAAAAGATGATTTTAAGTATACAGACACATCTGCTTGTAGGTTTTTCAGTACTGACACAATGTCTGGAAATGATGAGAATTAGAAAGCTAGGTTTGAATGGGTCAAATACAAAGATGCATTTTTCAGACACCTCTGAATCCTGAACGGTGAGCGCTCGCTCTGGCATCTCATCATCTGTAAGGACTGGCTCCCACAATTCCACCTGAAGTTCAAGCTGTTCCAAGATTTCTTGGATCTTCAGGTTTCTTTCTTTCACTCGTGCTATCTCCTGCTCCTTTTTTTGTACTACTATGTCAAATTCTTCATTGAAAGCAGTTTTCACTTTGTAAATGACATCCTGGAATACCAAAAAAGGAAATAGCAGTACTGGTCAGGTCACATCCATCCATGTTTATATTCTGCTCCTCAAGGCATCAGAATCATGAATGTGTATATTTGTGTGTGTGACAAGGAGATAAACTGGTAAAACCTTTTTGTGAAAATTGTAAGCATTGAGTTCAAGTTTGTTAAATGGACTTAGGCAAATGATCTCTTTTTTTCTTCTTTTTCCCCTAGAAATTTTTATTCATTTTCTTCTGCACATTTGGCACTTAAGAAAGAGTCTGAAAGAAATATGCTGCTGCCAAATCTAGATAAAAAAAAATTAGGCTGTCTTCTATTTGCTTTTTTATGGCCCTCTTCAGCTGAAAGAAGGAGGAGCTTCAAAGAAAAAAACATGTGACCTGTAAATCTACAGACTGTAAATCACAGGTGCAAGGAGGCAGAGCAAAGGATATACTTTCCTGATGCAACCTGCAGTTTCAATATGCTTCCATGAAAGTAAAATGTGCCCATTAAACAAACAAACATTGGGAACTGACTTTTTAAGAACATCTCAAACCTTATAATCATCTAAAAAACCATGTATTCTTAGTGGATAAATTCTTCTTTTAGCATAAAGAATTGATCTCAACAAAGAAAAGTAGAACTTTAAAGAGGGTAAGGCATAGGTCTCTCTTACTGTGTCAATTTACTAAAATGCATCATGAAAAGGATACTGATACTCTGAAATTGAATAACCAATTTAATGAAATATTTTTCTTCCACACCCAAGCTGGCAAAGCCACAGCACTAAGTGCATTTATCAGCTTTTGTCTCAGTTACTCAGACTGGTGTAACTGTCCATTGTTTAGTGTCAGTATGTCCAAAATCTAACAGTGGCTGTGACTGGTGTAAAAACCAACTGACACAAGAGTGTCACTGCAGCAGGACAGATTTCAGAAGATATCACCTTCAATAATATTGTCTGATTGAGTTTCTGCTCCTTTGTGTGCAAGTCACATTGGTGGTATAGGATAGATGTGTCCCCACCATACTGAGAGCTCAGGCTTCCATTTAGGCAGAGAGATGCACCATCAACAGTCACTTCTGCTGCCTTCTCTCTTTCTTCCGCAGATAAAGCCATCTCAGAGTCAAGATTTTTCTTCTGAGCCTGCATATCAGAAAAATGGCAACTGTGTTGAGTTTGTACATGATCCTGTGGCACACAATGAAGAAAATTTTAGAGATTTTATTCTTCAATTAACTCACTGATCAAAATAATACAAGTTGAAACTATCAAGTTGATATAATATAATAAAATAATACATGTTGAAACAATACAAGTTGAAATATCCAGAATATTGGGTCCATTTTCAAGTTCCTTAGTACAACACTGGGAATACTGAACTGAGTCCAGTGATAGGGCACTAGTATCAGTAAAGATTTTAAACATAAAGATTTTAAACATTTTATATGTGAGGACAACTGAAAGAACTGGAATTGTTTACCCTCAGGAGGGAGAAGGCTTGGTGGGGTTCTTTCTCCTGTGAGGGTTGTCAAACATGAGAAAAGGTAGTCCAGAGATCTTATGGTTTCTTTCACCATGGAGATATTTCCAGCCTCACCGGACACAGCCCTGAGTTAATGCTCTAGGAATGTTGGACTAGATGACTTCCAAAGGGCTCTTCTAACTTCAGCTATTCTGTGATTATTTAAGACTAATACATTTTTCCTTAACAGGATTTCACCTTTATTTATGTTTTAATTTTTTTTGCCAACTTCTAGAGCAAGGAAATGAGCCTTAGGAATGTAACTAGATAAATAAGTGATAAGATGCCAGCTCAGAAGATCATGATCTGTACCTGAAGATCAGCTGTCTCAGCCTGCTTTAACCGGAGAACTTTCTTCAAAGTTTCCAGCTCTTCTTTACTGCGTACCTTCAGTGGATAATTCCTCACTTCACAATCCATGTGGAAGCACTGCTCAAATTTAAAATAAAAAAACCCAAAGGAAGAAGTTCTTCATAATGCTTCTATCAGTTCATTTGTTCAATACCTGAATGCTAAACAATTACAGACTGCTTCAAATCAGGAATAAAACTGAGGATCAATTAGTACAGACAATGTATTAAATACAGTTTAAAAAAATAATCCATGGGTGTGGGCTCTTTATTCATCTTTATCCAGAGAATTAAACCAGAACTAGTTTGTTTGGGTTTTTTTGTGACTTGGTCTTTCACTACTCCTGGGATAATTCAATATCATCAGTTTGACTCATCTCCCACTTTAAAATAGGCAAAACCAGGGTTAAATTTTGCCATTATGTTCTCTATAAATGGCATATTTAACCAGGGTTAAATATGCCATTATGTAGCAGAAGTCATATGGACTGACAAAGAAAAATAGTATTTACTTCTCCTTTTCGCAATACTGTGTAAATATATTGTCTGAGATCAAGGAATTAAAGAGTTCCCTATTTGCTTATCAACTCTATTTTCCACTTTAGAAGGTAAAATCCACCAAGCTCAGACAAAATTAACAGAATAAAAGATTTCCCTGAGCCTTGAGAAGAAGTAACGTTTTTCCCACACCATAAGCAAATCAGAAATGTGTTATTTTGTCTCTGTACCTTAAGGTATAAATAAACTACTGCAGAAAATATCTTAGAAAGCAGGTTACCTTAACTGCACGTTCTTTTACACACAAGTCATCCCAGCACTTATATTTAATTAAATCCTGCAAATAGCAGTGGTATAAAATCTCCATCTCAAGCTCCCTCCTCGCCTTTCAAGACAAAGAAAACAGGATGTGGTACAAAGTAACAAGATATGGACAATTTGCATTAAGTTACTGAAAGAAGACTAACAAATGAAATGAATTATCAGTATTTCATCATCTTAATCTGTCACTGCTATCTTCTCCAAAAACTATCTGCATAGTATTGAAAGCATAATTTTCTATGAGAAAAAAAGGCATTCTAGACCTTAAGCAAAAATCCCAAGGCCACAGTGTGAGATTTACAGTTTCTGGCATAAATCATATTCCAATTTGCCTTGTCTGCCTCAGCAGTTTCACCTGCTTCAAAAAGTGACTTTAAATACTTTTCTGTTTTTCTGCTTCTCAGCAGAGAACAGTAACTTTGAGCTAATCCTCTGTTATTTAATAATTTTTCTCCTTTCCACTGACAGTTTTAAAATGTTCCCCCATTCTGCCATACCCTGGCCACATCTTCTTCAGCCGCTGCTTGCACTTGTTCCTGTTCTTTTAAATCCAGGTTGAACTCCGAGTGCTCGAGTTTCTCAATGTCTGGCACCTGCTCATTTTCATGCATCATTTTCTGAATCTGTTTTTTTTTTTTTTTTTAATATAAGAAATAAAAAGTAATTTGAATGTGAATAGAGGAAATGCTATTTTAAACACTATAAAACTTGGTGTCAGAAAATGATTTTAATTACCTGCAATTTTAATTGCCTTATGGGAAGAAAGAGAAGGAAAAGGAGAGGACGATCTATTTTATAATGGAAGGTTGTTAGACAGGCAGAAATTAGCTTGCTGAGGGGACAGAGAGTTCAAGGTATGAGGGTGGTACAAAATATTCATTTGAAGCAAAGGAAAATGAGAAGCAGACAGTAGCTCCTGGCAGTTTCAGCATTGGTCCCTGAAGAGGCACATCTCTTTAATGCCTGTCTGCTTAGAGTTTATGACAAAAATGTAACTGAGCACTACAGCTCACAGCCATAAAAGAAGTGTTCTTGTAAACAAAACTGGGAAGCTGAGCCATTACCCTTGTAAGAAACTCACAGTTTCACGCAGCTTTTTAATTCCCATTTGCAGCTCTTCCTTCTGGTTAGCAAACCTCTGAGTCTCTTCTCTCATAACCTGACATACAACAAATGCATTGTTGAAAGGCAAAAAAAAAAGGTAAGAGAAAAAAAATACCGAAGTAATCTAAAGGAACATTATCTGTACAGAAAATAAAATGCCAGAGGGGTTAATAAGTGAAACAGACACAGCCCTAATTCAAGAAGATGATCCTTAGAATTGCACAAGAAAAAAGAGATTTTAGAGCCAGGCCACATTGTAAACTGATTGTACAGCAACAGCTCTTGAAAAATGAAAATACTACAGAAAAATGTAATTACAAGTGTAATGCTTACAGACACATTGATCTGCATAAAGCCTACTCCCAGAATTTTTTAGTCCTTAGATTTTTCATTGTTGAAAATTTTAATTGTTTTCGTTTTTCACTGAGTAACCTTCTTGGTTTCTGGTAATAATTTTCCTGACAACTTTTCTCACATATAATATAAAAAGTCTTAAGTTTCTAAAATAAGTGAATTTGTCAGGCTTTTTTTTCCCCCCCTTGTTTTTCTTTGGTTTTTTTTTCTTTTTTTTTGTATACTCCTGGTATAGAAGTGTTCTTCTGGTCTTCAGAGCTCCTATTATGCTAGGCACTTTCCCTGATGTGTTTATAACCTTGGCCTAGAATTTCTAAGTCTATATTGCAATGGTTAAAGAAAGGGCCAATTGTGAGAAAAGCTTTTGAAACTAGATCTGTTTACAGAAAACACTTTGGTACCCCAAGTGACTAATGACCTTTGAAAACTCTGGCTTTGATTAATACTTATTTTATGAAAGTACCTTCTGTATTTTCTGGCCTATCCATGTCATGTCATCAGTATTTGTGACGTTTCCATCTTCTTCTGTCACCTGTACATTAGAAGATTTCAGTGGTGCCTTCTGATGTTTCTATTAAGGATATAAACATCTAGCTCAGGTACTTAGAGAGCAAATGAAAGAAAGATGGAAATGAAAGACAATGTGGATTCCCACTAGAAACACCACCACCACCACCCAATTAGAGAGTGTTACAATTCTGCTGCCTAACTAGTCCCCAGATCTGATCCTGCAAACCCTTGCTATTATACAAAGCTTTTGACTCAAATGATTGACTGGACTAATCTCTGTAACCACTGTTTGGATTGATTTTAATGCAAAAACATCAATTAATAACACCAAATGTATAGCAGTAACATCACACTGGGAAGGACACATAACTTCACATGAGGAGAAACTGACTTTCACAGAGTTTTCTGTGTCTGAGGAAACCAAGTGAAACTGAAGATGTGAATGTCATCTTCACATAAATATCCTATTTCTTTGATAGTACTCTTCCACAAATTACTATTTAAGCATATTCAGCCTATCCTCAGGGGTGCTCTTCCACTTTAACAAAAGGATCAGTGTATTAAGGACAATTTTTATCTTGTAAAATTTTAGGATAATGATGAAACTATTTTTTCCCCATAAAAATAAAGAAAGCACTTTAAATTTCTTTACTGGAGGTGATTTTGATGTGCATTCTGGGTCAAACTTCCATTCTGCCATAGATTTTAAAACAGAGTTTTCATCTGAAGCAGACTTGTTCAGTATATCACGTAGAGATTGCCAGTAAAGAGCAGCTTCCTCAATTTCAGTTTCCTTTATCTCCCTGGTAAACAGAAAGGGAACTGATATATTTTTCGTGTACTATGGAAAAGTACAAAGCATTAAATATTCTTTATAACAAAATTATTAACTTGTTAAAAATGCAAATTCAATATTTTTGTATTTTTGAGTTCTAGAACTACATAACTAAGTGAACTCTCCACAGAAGTAAAAATTCTGAAAGATGGATTACCCATAGAAATACTGCTCTGACAGAGTCATCTTTATAAATCTACCTGAACACTTATTTTCCTGCAGAAAAGCTCTACTTTCAGGTGTCTCTTATTCCTAATGTCTGCTAAGAGCTTTCTACAGCCACAGGAGAATTTCCATAAAAGCTGTGATGTCCCCTTTTTGCTGAGCTAAAACAGTATCTCAGGAGATTACATCCCTTCCATCCCCAGAGAGCCCTTTCCAGAGCTGATTAGAGAATGATAAGTGGTATCAGGTAATGACATTTACCAAGTCCAAATGCCAGGTCCTGCATTTTGGCCACAATAACCCCTGCAGCATTACAGGCTAGGGATGGTGCAGCTGGGCAGTGCCCAGGCAGAAAGGGACCTGGGGGTACTGATGGACAGCAGGCTGGACATGAGCCAGCAGTGTGCCCTGGTGGCCAAGAAGGCCAAGGGCATCCTGGCTTGTATCAGGAATAGCGTGGCCAGCAGGAGCAGGGAGGTCATTCTGCCCCTGTACTCGGCACTGGTGAGGCCACACCTGCAGTGCTGTGCCCAGTTCTGGGCCCCTCCTCAGCAGGAATGACATTGAGGGGCTGCATCCAGAGGAGGCAACAAGGCTGCTGAGGGGCTTGGAACACAAACCCTGTGAGGAACAACTGAGGGAGCTGGGAGTGTTTAGCCTGGAGGAAAGGAGACTTGGGGGTGACCTTATCACTCTCTGCAACTCGCTGAAAGGTGGTTGTGGTCAGGTGGGTTGGGCTCTTTCTCCAAGCAGCAACTGACAGAACCATGGGACACAGCCTTAAGCTGCATCAAGGAAAATATAGATTGGATATTAGGAAGAGGTTTTTTACAGAAAGGGTGATAAAGTTTTGGAATGGCCTGCCTGGGGAGGTGGTGGAGTCAGCATCCCTGGATGTGTTTAAAAAAAGACTGGTGCCATGGTTTAGTTGAGGTGTTAGGGTTATGGGTTGGACTTGATGATCTTGAAAGTCTCTTCCAACCCAGTGATTCTGTGATTCTGTAATAATTCTCAGAAGACATTCCTGTATGTTGTACTGCAATCAGTCCCAAAGTGTAAGACTTCCTGAGCTAGGGAGGCAGGCTGTCTCTGAAGATGAGAGGAATTATTTTATTTCTATCCAATTCTTCTCCTTACTTTGACATGAAGAAAAAGGAAGTCTAGAATCACAAGTAGATGCAAAAATTAATCTATCAGGATACAAGAAATGACATAATCAATATTAGTCTGCCACTTTATACATACTTCCACTTCAGACACACCAGGGCACAATCATTTTCACCGTTAACTAGGATGAAATTGCCATCCAGGGAGAATACCATGGATCTGATTCCCCCTCCTTGATATGAGTGGCAATGCTTTTGAGCAAGTATGTCCTAGAGAAGTCATAGAAGCAGTATCAGCAAATATGTTTTTATAAGGGAATATGCCTTTAAATTATTTTTATTATTTAATTTAAAAATATTTTAATATTTCTTTATTTTTAGATAAAAGTCAATCCAAAATGGCAATACAAAACACATAAAATACTAGGGTTTTTAAGTTTAACAGGTTTGACTACACATGGGACAAGATTGTAGTATATTGATTTTGCAGGAGGTGAGAACAGTAGCAAAATTATTTATGCAAAAATTTACTGAAGGAACTAAGTGGTTTGTATGCTTGTATACACACTCATTATAAAAATAATGGTCTTGTATAATGCTATGTCAGTTAATTTTCAACATAATTTTTTCTCAAACACCTATTAAAGTGAGGAAAAGTTTACAGTTAAAGGAAGTAATTTTCACACTTTTGTCTCACATAAATCAAACAAAGCCTGTGCCCAGACGCCCACCTACCAGAGTAGAAGTATTGTAGATAAACAAAACACCATCCTTGGCTGCTGCTGCCAGCCACTGGCTGTTGGGTGATAAACAGAGCAAACCTGATCCAAACTGTTTGCTAGGAATTTTCTTTTCTGCTGAAAATACTGATGGACCGTCCCACTTATTCTGCCAAACAAGCAAAAGGTAGCAGCAGTTCAGATGATATCTATGCCATTTTGAGAAAATTAATGAGAAGTTTGTGGGTTACCACACGCATTGCAGTTTAAACTGTTGTTGGACTACTGAGCTGAGGAAGTAGTGCCAATGCTGCGCTGCTGATTTGCTTCTAATCTCTGCAAAAGGGTCTGTATTCAGTACATTCGAGCCTGAATTTCTTGGCTCAGAAAGGATGGAACATGTCAAGGAGGAATGCTGACCTTAGAATTCACCTTTTTACATGCCTTGACTCTCAAACTCTGGGAGACCTATGAGCTGCAGAGAGCTGCAGTTGCTCAGCAGGCAGTGACAGTGGCTTCCTGAAGCCCTCACTGCTTCCTTGTGAGGCTGGGCTGGGTTTGCATCTGAGAGTCCTGGGCTGACATTGGCTCAGTCCCTTCAGGAGCTGCATGTCCTGGTTACTCAGCAGACTACACAAACCCACAGCTCCAGCACAGAAGCCACTTGTGAAGTGCCTGCAAGCTCTGTGGATTTTAAGAACCAATATAATAGAACAAGGACATCATTTTTGCCAGGTTTCTAAGCAAGTGGTAGGAAAATGAAAGTTGATGAGTATGTAGGGAGTAGGTGTTTTGAGTGGAGAGAGGATTTCTTTAAGATAATATCCTGCTATATTAATTTCATCTGCAGCCTTTGTTTTTATTTAGCTGGTATTTAACCATCACCCAAAATAACGCAACTTCAGAGAATTACCTTTGCAGAGAGGTAGTATTTGCAGATGAAAGGTGCACAGGTGCAGTAGCCATACACAATGTTATGTGACTTCAATCTGACTGCTGAGGTCAAAGGGTAATCCAGATCATACTGCTCCTTTTTCAGGTCATTAGCATTAAACATTCCTTGTTCATTCACATACTTATCATTATCTAAAAGATTGACAAAAGAAAGAGGGAGGAAGAGGCATGACTACCACTAATACAGGTGCTTTGTCTATCATGTAATTACGAAAATGGTCCTCAGCAAGGAGTGAGCATTTTCAGGGAAGTGACTGCAAATTAAAAAATACTTAGGTATTAATACTTAGCTCAGTGAGTTGGGCTGATACAGGACATTGCAGTGAAGCACAGCAATAGCTCTCCTGGCTCTAAAGAAGTACTGGAAACAGTTTAACGACCATGATGTGACCATTTGCATACACTAATTTACTCTGCTTCTTGAGTATTACGTCAACATAATTAGTGCTAATTAGTTTGCATGCAGGTTCATGCCACCATTGCCTTCATCTAGAACTTGTTTTAGGAATCTCTGCCATGAGGAGCACACAGCCTGGGTGGTATTGGTTAAACCACTGCAATTCACATCTTCAAAATGGATTTTTTTATATTAAATTAATATATTTTATTAGTTAATAAAAGCTAATAATATAAAGTCAATATATTTTATTAGTTCCCTAATTTGAGCTTTAAAGGGACACGGAAAATTAAGACTGGCAAGGCACCTGATATAAAACTGACACACAGACAACAACTGTAGATCTTCAGAAGCTTTGAAAATAAAGCCCCATTTTATATATCTAAACATAGGCACAAAAATAATTCAAAAATTAGTGAATATTTGAATAAAATACTAACTTTGTTGAAAACTACAAAACTACTTTTTGAAAAGTTTGTAAAATGTAAGGCCTTTTAAAAATTAAATGTAAATAACTTGAAAGTCTGACACTAGGCTTATTGCTCTAGAAAATGTAAGTATATATTTCAATTTTTACCTGCTATCATTGCTGAAGACAGATGAAAAATTTCCAGTCTTGCTTGTTGGACCTCTGCTACATTAAGAAGTACCATCACTTCAACTGAGTCATACTTTAAGTCAGAAATTACAGAAAGATGGAGCACTTCACCTGCCAGTACTGAAGCAGGTAAGGAACATCAATGGAAATTGTTATTGTGGCATGGTAACATTTTTTAAATTAAAATATCCTGTGACAAAAAACGAAATCCTTGTTGGGAACAAAGCTCAGGAGTGCTGCATGTACTCAACTCCCTTTGAGGCACTGGGTGCTGGGAATCCCTAAGCACCAGCACACTATTATTATATTAAAAAGTCAACCAGCACACTATTATTATATTAAAAAGTCAAATCTGATTTTACCTCAAGCTTGAATTGTAGCAATTTTGAGGCTATCTGCTGATAACTGCCAGATAAAGAACAGAAAAACCCTCCTGTAACAAACCCTCCAGACAATGAGAATACGATCAGGCAAATTACATAAAATATTTAAGGAGATACAATTCTGTTTGTTAAACAGAATTGTTAAACAATCTCTTAAACAGAATTTGTTACCATTAAAATGATAAAATGTCTTTTATACATAAAATTATGGTGAAGATGTATACACACAGATATGATCTGTAAGAATAATGATTTTTGAAAAATAAATTCACAAATCTCAAAATTTTTTTTGTGAGTTAAAATTAATCATATTTTATTCCTTACTATCAACCATCAAAGCTGACAATTTCAGCAGTTCCCATGTTAAAGATGTCTGTGGTAGAAATTTGAAACAGGAGATTGCACACAATGATTATAACCTACAGCATTTTAGTACAAATTCTCACAAGTTCTTTACTTCTTTGCCATCCCTACTACTTTTGTGCTGGAGCTGTGATCAGTTTGTCAGCTAGTCCATTCTTTTCCCTGTGACTGATACGTACTCTGAAAGAAAGGTATTATTGGTACATCTGCTAACTAAAATTACGAAGGGGAAAACAAAAGCAAAAACTAAAACCAACCAACCAAATCCTCCAAAACAAACAACCCCGAAAAGAACTCTGGCCCTTAGAAAATAGGTGGGAAGAATATGTTTAGTCCTCCAAGAAAATAAATAGAAGGAAGGTGAATGGCTTGGCCTGACTGATAAGTATACTTTAAATGCAGAAAATAGAGAAAAGAAAATGTAATTAATGTCGTTACGTGTATTACCTATATATCCCAGAACCTGGAAAAATTTTGATGGACGAGCATCTAGAATAAAGATGTGTCCTTCTGTAGCTCTTGCAATGAGGAACTGGCCACTCTGATCATAACTAGGTAAAATGCAAATCCAAGTAGAAATCAATTCAATACAGTCAATAAGAAGAGTCAAATAATTTCACTCCCATAACTTGCTGACTTCACTGAATGCATAAACATAAATTTCAGCTCCTGGTTTTACAGGCTCAGGGTCAGATATAAAGCCCAGTGCTATGAGTGCAGTTTCTAATTAAGTGGGAGGTCAATCTAAAGCTGATCATACTCCGCAGCAGTCTACATTAACAACTTTGTTATGTCAGAAGTTCTTTTACATTCACTTTTTTAGAAATGAAACTATTACACAGATCTTGATATTATTTTGAAAAAAACACATCTTTGCATTGATTTAATTTTGAACAGGTTGATTTCTCTATTTATTTTTAAAGTTCTGTCTTAGGTGGCTGTGAAAAGGGATACATCTGAGTCTCAAATAAGAGGCTGATTTATATTAAATTTTAACAGTTCAAAATCTGTTCTGTTTTTGCAAAGTAGAGTAAAATACTCAGATTTTTCAATAACTGGGGGAGGGGAAACCCAACCAACAAAAAATCCCAACCAAACAAAAAAGCCTTTTAGATCACTAGAGGTAATTACAAGAGCTAATTACAAGTTCTGATAATGTCCAGAACTTCAAGTAAATTAATAATTAGCAATGGCAACAAAAATTCACCATATAGAAAGAGATGGCCAAAAGGCTTAAACTTAACTTCACAAAACCTTAAATTTATATCCAGTGAGAAATAGCCCTCTAAAGTCAGATACATGGAATTGTGCATAATTACTACATATGGTGATTTTTCAGAAGGGATCTTATACATCAGTATCTTCTGTGTTCAGTTAAACCTTCTTAAAATACAGATTTATTACATTTCTCTCATATAAATCCTGATACTACCTCTTGCAAACAATTCAGAATATGCTGAAAAAACCACAGAAGCTGTTAAAATGTTTTAATTTTTTTATTTGTAGAATAAAAATGTCAATTTTTTTTTGTTCAACTAATGTCATTACTCAAGCAATAAATTGACAATATGTCTACCCTACTACATACTTACTGCAAAGACAGCACTGGAAGTTTGGAAAGAAAAGTTCTGTGAACAACCCGTGGAGCTTCAGCTTTGGTAACATCAAGGAAACAGATTTGACCTGTTTGAGTCCCTACAGCAACACTGTTGGAGGAGGGACAGCAAGCCATAGAAGTTGCCTAGTTGAGAAGTAGAAGATACATAGCAATTCAACAAATTTTTATATATATGCTATTTGTTAATACGCAATTTCCTTTGCTATTTAAAAGTCCCTAAAATTTGAGGAAAAAAACATAAGCGGTTTATTTTAAAAACATGTTTTTCACAAAGAAAGTATTTAGAGACATTATGGAAATTTTATCTATGTTTTGTAGCTATACATCAAAACACAATTCTGTTCTTTACAGAGAAAAAACAACCATTATATCCACTCTCCAGATTTTAAGTGAAAGAAGTTTCTAAACCTAAATAAAACAGTGAGTGCAGTGTTGTGTGTACAGCTGTTATAGAAAGGGTTTTTTTTTTTACTATGTCAGATTTCAGGGTCTGAATGCATCTTAAATCAGGACAAAGCATTAACAGTTTGAAATACTTTTATCAGCTCAATTCTTAAAACCTGTTTTACATTATCAGTCAAGGCATTTAGCTTTTATACTTTTAAAACTTTTCTGTTACTCATTAAAAACAAAAAAAAAAAGGAATACCATAAAAATTTAGATTTTTTTTTTTACAAAGATGTGCTGAAAGATGCATCACAAAGACATTTGGCTGAGCTGTTTCCTCTGCTTTGAATTCAAGATAAAAACATGAAAGGATTAGCTCAAGGAAATATTCTGAAAGATAATCTTTAAATTTCATTGATGGATTGCTCAAAGACATTACTGAGTTTTCCTCAGCACTGATTGATGCAAATCTGTGGATTATTATGCCATCAATTGAAAAATATAGAAAATTTTAAGTATCAGTCATGATATAAGATCCTGGTTACTTGTACCTTAATACCAAGGTTTAGCTTGCTGAGGAAAGTTCCATCTTCCAAGGACCAAACTTGTACTTCACCTGAAATTGTTACAGACTGTTGAACAGAGAAAAACAGAGTCAAAAGAGGATGAAATAACCAAATAGTCTGGAAGTGATTAGTGATCTCCTATATAATACATATTCAAATAATCACTGGGCATGGCAGATTAAGGGTTACTTGGGATTATTAAACTTTTCATTAAATCCAAGTGCTGAAAGGTAAATCTGCTTAAGGAATACTTTCAATAATTTTTGTGCAATCCTGCAGCTTTAAGCAGAATGAGACAATTTAGGGCAAAATTTGTTAGCTTGATCAATATTAGCACTCGTGCCATCCTGCCAGCAATAGAACAACCTGCTTATAATTTTATTTGCAAAGGAAAGGCCTTGATGAGAGGTCTCATTTACTCACCTGAAAAACGATGACTATCAAAAAAATTTAGTTCTTCCTATATCCAGGTAATTTTGTAGTTCCATAATTACAAGTAGTAAGGCTTACAAGAAGTAAGGCTAGACATCACTCAACCTTCACACTACTCACACACAGTCAGGTAAAATTTAGCATTCCTGTGCTAATGGTGAACAGAGATTCAGCCAACTTAACAGACTATGACTCCAGGTTTTCTAGGCTGGTTACCTGGAGAATTCATGGCCTGTAAATGAATTGGTGGCTAAGATATATGTCTTGCAGGAGTAAAAGACAATGAAAAGCAAGGAATTTCTACGAATGGACGGGTGCATGAGTAAAGGCCTTCTTTGTCCCTGGACCCAGCACAGAGGTATCTCTCAGGATGTTCCAATCTGTGCAGAGGGCTGAAAAGATCAGTAACAACTATTGGACAACATCAGTTTTCTGAACTGAATCCATCTTTTGCTCAGCTATCTTCCTGAACAATCTAAATCACATAAATCAGCAGCAGAACCAATATAAAATAAATTATCCAACCTGCATTCCAAGGGAAATTCTGACCCTTTTATAGACTATAGCTGAATGAATGCCATTTACTTCCTCAATGAAAAGTTACACAACTGTGACAAATATGAGAACAATCTGATTTCTGCAAGGCTTTTCATTTTGTGCCTTAGCAACATATTGGTTACCTGAAAAGAACTATTCTATATTAAAAATAATACTTTCTTACCACACAGTAGTTGTTCCCTGGAGTAAGAAAATCAGCTGCCAGAAAACAACTGCTGGATGTGTCCAAGAGTTTGACAGCTTCTCCACTATGGGCAGGTCTATAACTATAGACTGTCCCCTGACGAAGAAAGAGAAATAATCCATCACTGGGATATGAAACTCTTCATTAGAAGCTTCTGAAAACTTGAAAAAACCCTCCCATCCTTCTGAGCTTCACTCTTTGAACTTTTATATTTGACTCTAACCTGAGATAAAATGTGCCCAGTAGGATTAATCTGAGTTTACTGGATTATATTAATTTACACTGACTAATGCTAGCTCCCTTTAGAGTGCTCCAGCTAACCATATTTCCAAGAAGTTTTGTTTCTCAAACTTGCTTTAATAAAATAATTCAAACACACCTAATTTCATATTACTCCAGAAATGAATAAATATTCTACACCAACACAAAACTTCATGTCCGTAGAGAGAACAACTCTAGTGCAGAGTCACAGTAGGTCTGATACATCCAAGCTACGCTTTTCTCCCTGTGCAGGCCTGGAGTTCATGCCCAGTAGATCCATGACTTAAACATATGAGAGATCCTGAACACATAATCAACTGTACACACACAAGGATTTCTGTTGGGAAATCTAAACAATGGGTACTTCTTTCTGGTATATTCTACCATCTGTAGGAGACAATTGTCCTGTGCTTCATTAAAAGTCTTTCCAATTTTCAGTAAAAACACAGAATGGACTATGTTAATTTCTGATAGAATTTGCAGACTTGTGTGATTACATTACACATTTTGTACTAATAGTATCAGCATATTCATATAGAATCCCAGGACTATCCCATTCTGTAGTGCTGTTATCTCAAATGTTGTACCTGGTCAGTGACAAGCAGCAGACTGGTGTAATCAGGAGAAAATAAGAGGCTGGATATGGGCTGTGAGATATCAGCACAGATTTTTATCTCGTACTGCAGATCTTTGATGTGACAAAACATTAATATGCCCTCCTGTGCAGAAAAGTACAAATCCACATGAGGTCTATGTCAGTTATACTATCTGGCAAACTAAACTGCAAGATCATCTGAAAATCACTAGAGCAGCAGCATTTAACTGCATCCCATCACCAATGGGATGCACCATTTGTCTTTAGCAGGTTTAAATAAAAAGCACTCCAAACTGAGATAACAAATCTATCGAACATGAAGGTGTTCTTTAATACAATTCTTAGAGACAGTCCATGTTTGCTAACAACAGACTCATTAGATAATGCTTTCAATTTCATGTTGTTGTTTTTGAGACACTGTAAGAATTTGTCCTCCATTTAAGCAGGACTGTACAAAGGTATTTTCAGATTGGGTTAGATATTGATTTACATTTTGCAAAATAGAATTTGGCAATTCTCTTGGCCACTTTCCTCTCCTTTGCTATTTTGTCCATCCTTCTTTTCTGTTCCTCTACTATATTCTTAAATAAAACCAGGATTGTCCTCTTTCATTGCTTCTTTGAGTACAAAAATGGTATCTTTTCACACTCTGCTCCCCTGTGTTAAGCCTTAACAAAGAAATATAGTCAACACCAGAGAGGAACTTTATATTTCTACAACCCCTCAACTTTTCCTAACTCCTGTCTTTGCCGTGAACTCTGCAAATATACTCCATTTGAATGTAGATTTTCTCACACTCAGAGTAAGTTAAAAGCACAAAGGATGCCTTACACTTCCAGCTGCATACAGTCCCTCATTACAAAATGCCATGGCAAGTAAAACTGGTTTTTGCAAACTGCTTGGTTTGCCACCTGAAAGCACAAAACCAACATAAAATATAAAATTTAATTTATTTCAACCATGAGTTACGTCTCCAAATCTCAGATAATTTACTATTTATTTGTGAGTAAAAGGACAATAGAGTCATTTAGATTGGAAGGGATCCTAGAAGTCTTCTAATCCAACCTCTTGCTCAACACAGAGCTGACTTCAAACTCAGAACCAACTTCAAAGTTGAATTATGTTGTCCAGACTCATATCAGCTAAGGTTTGAATATACCCAAAAATGGAAAATTCGTATCTTTGGGCAACTTGTCCTAATGTGTGATTACCTTCACTGGGAAAGTATTTATTTCCTAATATATACCCAGAATTCTTGTTGATGCAAACTGTGTCCTTTGGTTGTATCTTCTCTGTAACATTTCTTTGGATAGCTAAAGCAATAGTAAAATCCATCATTTCCTTTTCTCCAGGCTGAACAAACAGTTTTCTCACACCAAATTTGTATGTCATGTACTAAGACTGTAACAACCTTTGTGGAAAGGTGCTGAACTTAATCCATTCTATCTTTTTTGTACTATGGTGCCCAAAACAAAGTGTTTGAGATAAACCCCTAAATCCTAACTGAGATAAATTATGAGTGATTGCAGATCTAAAGAAATGCTAAAACTAAGCAGTAGGGAACCTCTACTAGCACCACTAATTCCAATTTAAATCAGAATGAACAGAATCTTTTCTGCTGTAACTCTGAGGCTTTTAATTTGGCTGTCTTTTAGCAAAAAAGCTGTTAATCTTTTGTCATGTAAATACACATAAGATTGCAAACGTGTCTTGCAGAGGCCAGCGTGAGAGGAGTTTTTCTAACCAGTGGCTTTCAGCTGTACTCACATATTATTATTCCCAGACATCAGCAGTGCTGCCTAAAAATCTATGAGCTTTATTTGAACATGGAAATACCTTTCTTTTTCTGCACTTCTCTACGAACATGGGACACCACATCTGCTATTTTCTGCATGAACTCTGCACAAAAGAAAACAATTTAAATGTCAACCTTGTTTGTAGGTCAATATTGCAGTACAAGTCAGTTGTATTCCACTCTATTCAACAAAAGGCCAGGTTCAGTACACTAAATGAAAAATGTGCATTATTCCTCAGTATCTACCATTTCTGCCATCTATACAACTGAGCAAGCAAGTGTTGTTATTCAGTTTACAGGTGTAACAAGGAGACAAGATGGAGAGTGGTTCAGATGCAGATTTATCTTCCTTCTATTACCAACTTATAGTATTTTTGTTTTTAACAATGAATTTTTTTTTAAGATACTATTTCATGAAAAGTTCAGCCACTCTGAAAACAATGCCTAAGTGAAATGTTGTGGCTGCTTATGATTCTGTTTGCAACACTGTATCAGGAATTCAGCATGTGCTTAAAGCTGGCCATGCCTTAAGCATTCTGCTAAATAGGTACAGATTGCAGTCTGCTTTAAATTAACCAGAAGCTTCAGTATAATATAAATACAGAGCATTTTGTTACACAGCTTTAGGACAAGACACAAAGATGAACACACAGGCCAAGAAAAAGCCCAAATGGCCAATATTCTTGTTGCCTTCTACACAACTGACAAAAACAGTTCTGGTCACATCTCAGGTTTTTATTAGTTGATGATTTCCAACTCTTGATTTGCTATATTTAACAGTCTGATAGTTTAAAAAATATAAATAATGCTGGTTTGACAGGTTGTTTTAAAAGCAGCCTTTTACTTTGGTGTTAACTACCAAAAATAAAGTTGTGGTACTTGCTGCAGCTTAAAAAATCATGAACTATATGTAAACAGAAGAAAATAAGATTACCAGGAGATTATCTATTACCACTAATTCAGTGTTTGTTAGGGAAACAGCTCTATGTTAGGGAGAAGTATATTCCTCCTAGCCCTGACCAAAGTATGAACTTCATGTGCACTATAGGATTGACACCTTCCATCCCATCAAAGGATGATGGGGTACAGATTGCCTAAGGAACAATTTTTCCTGGCTGTGTCTCAGTATCCTCCATTTAGGAGCCCTCTGAATGGGCACAGAATGGTAGTGGCATTTAGCAGAGGAGACAGCTCTGCATTCCCAGAAAAAGAAGGTCTGAAATGGGCTGCCCTTGACATGAAACTTTAGTCAGTCATAGCCTGCTAAAGGTCCCCATGAAAAAAGACAGGTGGGAACACATATAGGGCACACAAACCACGTTGGTGAGTTGCAATCGATCAGAGGTCCTCCCAGGATGAATTAAAACCAGATTTCTTTGTTTGAAGCCACTCACTGTGCCGCATACATCCTGCAGTAAAGCCTGGCAGTGTTTGCAGTCTTGTTTTCATTATAAAATAGCCAGTGTAAGAGCTGGCTCTAAGGAATGCTATTAAACCACATTGCTTCAGTTTTGTTTTTTGAAGACTCATAAGCTCTCAAAGATCACTTCTAACTTTATCTAACACAGCAAATGAAGACTATACAACATTTCATGCAAAATAAAATAAATCATTGGTACTTAACTAACAGCAAAAATAGTACTCCTATTAGTACTGCTATTAGTAGCTGGTATAGTAATAGTTTAATGTTAATCTAGTAGGGCTGGTTAATAAGATCTGGACTCCTGGAAATATAGTTAATTTAATAAATTTTGATGTATTTACAGTTTTTGTTTGGTTCAGTTTTTTTCTTAAGAAAGAAAAATGGAAGTTAGTTATTGGGTGTTGAAAACACCCCCACAGAATCTCAAAAGACAATCTCATATGTTTACTGTACTAATAAAAAAATAGGGTTCTACAAACCAGCTTTATAATTTCTATAAGGTACTGAATAGAAGACAGAAGAAAGCACAAAAAGTTTTCACCTATCTACATTCTTCCCTGCTTGAATGAAACACACTCAGCTATTTCTTACCAGGTGGAGCTTTTTGCTGAAGAACAGAAACACTGTATTGCTCAGCATTAATTGCCAAAACATATCCTTCTTCACAGCCCATGTATATTTCTGAGGTTGCAGTCCAGCAGTGGGCAGTGGGATGCACTGAGGTCTTAATACAATTTCTAGGCTTCATCGTGAAAATAAACAAGTTCAATCAACAATTGACAAATATCTGTACAAGTTGCTACAGACATTTCAAGATAAGGAAAAAAAAATCATTACCTCATAGAGTCTGACATCATGTTTAACATCAGCATTATTTTATTCAGTCATCCCTTCACTGAAGCCAGTAACTTGACAAAGAACATTCTCCAAAAAGTGTATGTCTGGAGACTGTGGTTGGAGAACTCACTTCTCACTCTAGAAACTTGTTTAAATTATGAATTATATTTTCAATTAAAAACTATATATTTTATATTTGCATCTATCTGGATTTATTCTCCAGCACTTGCATTTGTTGCAATTTTATCTCTAGCTTGGAAATCCCTCCAAGTATCTTCCCTATCCTCACAAAGATACTGACCCACCATAATAAGGGCATTTCCCAAACATTTAATGATACAATTATGATAAAATTCAACACACTGAGCCCCTAGAGGGTTATTTAAATGTCAGAAGGGCACTAGAAGCCCCAATTTAGATGGTTAGTTATTATGACTTCACCACAACAAATGCCTTTCAAACTGCTTTTTAGAATATTCTTCCACTTTAAGCTAAAATGTGAACATGTGGTTCTTGCATACCTGGCAGTGCTAAAAAAATTTTGTTTGAATAGCTCATCTTATTGTATAATCCAAATTGCTCTGTAAAACAGCTTTGTCAATCTTTGTGTCATCTGCAAATAAGTGATAGAAATATCCCTGACCTGGACTTCCCATGTGCCTTGAATTTCATTTTGCTAAAATAACTCTCATAAATCTGTCCTCCACAAAACAAGAACAGAACTTGTCCAACAAGTATTATTAAAGACAGAGAGTGGCCTGTTCAGATGTAACAGCAACAGAGGTAATAAAATACTATGACAGAAAGAACCAGATTAAAGACAATTCAGGGAGGGCAAGAGGGAGACAAAACACAAGAAAACCTTGGGAGAACATTTAAAAGAGAGGATTCTAAGCACCATGCATGTGTGCAGAATGGTGAGGATCACTAAACAATATGATGGATGAAAAAAAACAAGGTTCTATGTATGATTCTGTAAAACACCTGCTGTCTCATTAAAGGTTTTATAAAAAGAGGAAATATGGATGGACTTGTGATGAAAGCATAGCACAGAGATCTAGAAGTACCTAGATTTCATTAGCAAAATATACCAAGCCCTTGTTATATGATTCTGGGTAAGCAATTTACATTCTATTTATGCTTACAAGGCATTTTTAGTTTCTCAGGGGAAAAATGTTACAGAAGTGAAGTATATTAATATTTACTTTATACATCAAATATGGCTGACAGTAACAAATTTATAGCAAATAGGGCTTTACATCACCCAGAAAAACATCTAATATAGGCATCTTCACTGGTTTTATAAGGCTTGAACATCACAAATCTTTGGGAAGGTTGTAACTGAACTTCTGCAAAACAGAAGCTTTCTGACCAAACACAATTTCTACAGTGTTCCTTTGTACTGTCTTCCATGATTGTCTTTACATATAAAAATATGCTAATCCTATGATAATATTATGTAAATCTCAAACCAGGTTGCTTCTTGGACTGTGCAATGGTATGGTAGTGCATAATAATAATAACAATAATACTGAATTTTTTTGAACTTCTCTCTCTTTTGAGTAGTACCTCATCAGGGAAAAAAAAAATCCATGATGGATCCTTGCCACAAAAAGCTTTATAAAAAGACAATGGAATAAAATTGGTGCTAGCAATGAAATCAGTTGAAGTGGGCTTGATTGTCCCACTCTGCTCTGCACTGAGGCTGCCTCACCTTGAATACTGTGAGCAGTTTTGGTCACTGCAATGTAAGAACGATAATAAACTATTAGAGTGTATCCAGAGTGGGGCTAGGAACATAGTCAAGGCTCTAGAAGGGAAGCCACATAAAGAGCAGCTGAAGTCACTTGGTCTTTTCAGCCTGAAGAAGAGGAGACAGAGGGGACACCTCACTGCAGTTACAACTTCCCTGTGAGGCGAAGAGCAGGGACAGACACTGATCTCTGCTCTGTGGTGACAGTGACAGGACCTGAGGGAATGGCCTGTATCAGGGGAGGTTTAGGTTGGACATTAGAGAAAGATTTTTCACCAGAGGCTGGCTGGGCATTGGAAGAGGCTCCCCAGGAAGTGGTCATAGCACTGAGGCTGACAGAGGTCAAGAAGAGTTTGGACAACCCTCTCAGGGTGTGACTCCTGGGGATGGTCCTGTGCACGGCCAGGAGTGGGACTCAATGATCCTTGTGGGCTCTTCCAACCCAGCATATACCGTGATTCTGTGGTAAAGCACGTTTAGAAAATTCTATGAAATTCTAGATCATAGATCTAGAAAAATCTCATGTAAGAAAGAAAATGATGGAAAGCTGTAGGATATTTCAGTTCTTTCCCTCTGCTGCCTCGCTGTGGTTACACTTGGGTACATAGCCAGCCTCAGCACGTGGTTCTGGAGCATGGAACGTGGGACACACTTCCAAGCAGCAAACAAGCACACTGGGTTTGCTTTTCAGTGCTGAGGTGTTGCAATGAGGTGCTTAACTTGACAGGACAATCATAAGCAGTGTCATCTTATGCATGCTAGTTTTGGTGTCTCATATACATCACAAGCCACCAAATAGAAATTGATGTTCTTAATCTAAGAAAATAATCCCAGATTTGCAAATTAAATGTTTTCACACTTCTAGTTGGTAGTCATGTGAAAGTAAATTTCAAACAAAATGAGAAGACTTTTGAAGCCTCTAAAAAGAGGTACCTCAAGGGAGGATAAAAAGTATATAATCAAATACAAGTGAGACAAATGGCAAGGTCCAACACTTACAGTGGTATGGGAATGTATTTCAGAAGCAGTGGTTTCTGTCTCAAAAAAAGCCTTCAATGTTTTCATAGCTTGAAATATTTTCAAAGTCAAAAAGAAAGCAATCCCAAAGGAAAGTAAGGATATGTGAGGGTTACCATCAATTTAGCATGGTCAATTTAGCATGGGAATAAGTTTTCAAGTTTTCAGCTGGTCATTTTAGCTTGGGCACAGTAAAATGCTGACACACTTCATACTGCTTCTAGGACACAGATTCAAATCTCCACTGCACAGATATATGCCAGGAGCTATGTCAAACATCTCAACACTGTACTGTATTATGCAGCAGCATTGTGCCTTCTCAGTCTCCTGGCAAAATGGATTTCAAAGACATTGTTGAGGTAACAGATCCATTTATTGGGTTGTACCTATTTAATAAGTATTAGAATTATGAATTTGTTAATACCTATTTGTATAGAAAGTATAATGACTTGCAATAGTAAAAAGGAAAAAAAATCAGTAACTACCACAAATGTTTCTGCTTCATGTCCTTTCAGTCCAGCAATGGCTGAAACTGGCAAATCAGGACCATAATATGGATCATCATTACGAGAAGCTGGGAAAAACAAATCCTCATGAGGACTCATGGCCCCGTGATCATCAGGGAGTTCCACAGGGCTGTGAAAAGGCAAAAGACACAGAGGAGAAGAAATATGAATAGCAACCACTGATACAAAACGGAGAAGCTCTTTTGAAAATGGGCATTATTTCTGCAAATTAAATGGAGGAAAAGTGAGTATGCCTAGGTATTTACATATGCATTCTGTAATGCCAAAAGGCAAAAACCCTTCGGTATTTTTTTCAGATCACAAATTAAGGCCTTGATTATACTTTCATTAGTGTAACTGTGAATGTGGCAATATGTTGATTACATTAATACTTAATGAGATTAAACACAGTTGGGAATGGTAGAGTAGCTGCCACCTCAAAGCACAGGTTTTAAACGTCAACAATTCCAATTTGAGTGATACATGCTACTTTTATACCAACCTCAAAACACATTTTGGCATAAATAAATTCTAGTTTTGCTGTGCACAGTAAATTGGATTGAAAGAGCCATGCTCTCTGGACCTGTAAATTAGCCACAGAAGTTGAAAATCACATCGAAAATTGACACAGCTTTTGGTACAATTTGTGATTACAACAAGATATCGTTTAATTATTCTTACTAGGAACAATTTGATCCAAATGTGATGGTTTCATAGCTACAAAAGCAACGCTCAACACAGGCAAGTACAGAAAAGCAGTCCAGGCACTATCTTTATTCAGACACACAGCTTTAGATCAAAGCTGCCAAATCAGATTATTAGTATTAGCTTCATGGTGTGCATAATCTGGTCATGTGAGTACTAAGAAATGAAATAATAAATTTAATTCACTTGATTTGACTAGACAGATTTATAGTGGCTGTAATACCTAGGTGAGCTAAGTGGGACTAAATCCTTTGCAAAGAGATATGTGTTGCTAATCTTTATTATTAAAATATACTCATAGATATTGCTCTTGGCCTGAGGGGTGCTCCACTCACTGTCGTGTAAGGTGATGCTCGTCCTTGCTCCTTTCAATGCGCCAGATGGTAACAGAGCTCTCAGCAACAAAACACAGCTGCTGCCAATTCATGGGGTTAAAACTCAGAGCGGTTCCTGTTAGCCCTGGCTGAGACTCACTGCACAGGAGGAGATTTTCTTGCCAGTTCCTTCATTAAGGAGAATAAAAGAAAATCAAATCCATGAAATAGGTGAAAAACATTGAAGCCAAAGGTCTGGATGTGATTAGGACTGATGTTCAAGATCCAGTTTGGAAAACAAATACTTTGTCACTGACAAAAAAATTCTGCTGTCAAACAAGTAAGGTCCTCTTGAGAATGAAAAGGATGTGGTTAATTAGCCATAAAATTATTACTGCTACAAAATGATAAAATATCTGACATTTTAGAAACATTATCATGCACTCCCTTTTGTGAAAAGACCAATGGTCACGAGAAATGGATTTTTTTTCATTAGCTCCATCAGCGACTACTAAAATGGGCCCAAACAATTAACTCCTCAGCACCCCAGCCTTGCTCTTCCAGTCTGCAACATAATGACTGTAATGCTTGAAGCTGGAAGGAGTGATAATGAGAAAAAAAACCACATTCAGCCTGTGATTATCTATGGATTAATTACCTAGGTAATACAGTAATTGTGTTGTGAGTGCAGACATACAAGCTGTGGCCACAAACCAGGGCAGAGTTTGTGTGGAGCTGTTATGCCCCTATGTGTGTAGTTAACAGAGCCTGGGAATCTGCTTTCTGCTGACTTTTCTTTGTCCAGTATAACCTATTTTGTGTTCTCCTAATCTAATTTGCATATTTTCAATATTCAGATTAATATTTGATGGCATTTGCATTTTTAGGTGCTATCCAAGAACCGATTAACATAATTTGAAGAAAATGGTTAAAACTGTTTCTTAATTTATTGGACAATCTATCTGACTGTTATTCTAAATACCATTTAGGGCTTTAGTATTTATCATTATTGCTGAGAGGAGAAATCTAAAATGCATACACTGCTGTAAATGGATTCACTATAATCCCTTAGTCTGGCTGTAAAAAATTCACTCACAGAAATGATCACGAAGCAAACAATGGTTAACATTCATAGCATATGCAAAAAAATGGGAATTATTCACACATATGCAATTGCTCTCATTAAATTACAGCTATAAACTATAATTCTGACTTTTAAAGATATCAGCATATCTTGTTTTCTAAAGATCTGTCAGCATGTTCTTGTCTCATACCTACCAGATAATGCCAACAGGGTTTTATGGTAGATAATTTACTAAGATTTAAAACTATGGCAAAACATGTATCTGAAAAGGAATCTGACATTAAGTTTCTCCTTTGAACAGAAAAGAATAAATATTAGGGATAAAATATCTCAGATGAAAGGTAGTTTTAATTATCCACAAGCTCTTTATATTTTGAGACTGACATCTTTCAAAACATCTCTTACACCTCCGATTCCAAACTAGCTGCCTAAATTACTGCGGCTGTGCAATTGTCATATAGTCATGACATCTAATGCTCTACACTCTGATTTCTGACCTTTATACACACATATATCTTCAGTGAATGCACAATATAATCCAATTACAAAAATGAAGGTCCTGATTTCACAGGAAATCCCCACATCTCTGTTCAAATTATTACACATTCTAAGCTTAATATTCTAATGCAATTGTATTTTGTTACTAAATTCTTTGTGATTTAAGATGGTTTTCATGACAATTACCTGCTGATAGTTTTAACATGCTTATTCAAAATGGTTAAAATAGCTTGGTCTTGGAAATTACTACTACTTTAAAGTATTTAAACATTTCTAAGTATTTCTGGTTTTAAGAATAATCTAAAGAAGTCTCTCAGGATGGTGCATTTTTGTTTAAGAGCCCACAGTGAACACACTGGACCATGTGTGTTACTTCTGCTGTAGGTGACAAGTGTGTCAGCAAAGGCAGTGAGCCTTTGCTGGTTTCCAGTGTGATATGCACAGACATCCTTCTTGAACTACAGTGTATGATCAGAGTTCACAGCAAACATTATTCATCTTCAGAAGGGATAAAGAGGCATCTGTAATAGTATCTACTCTCATTACTGAAATTCTGAAATTCCAGAAGTTTCTGCATCTTCACTTATAATTGTAAAAGAGAAGATCATCAGTAAACGGAGACTATACTGACTATTCCTTACATGTCTTTGCTTGCCTTTCTCCGACTCCACCCTCCACATCTATTTTGAAGTGCTCAGACTCCACAGTCAATAGGAACTTGCTGGCAATGTTTTATAGTACAATTAAAATATTAAATATTCTACCTTTCTGTATCTGCACTACATTATATAATACTTCACCTCAACAAGCAGAAAATTATGATCTAACCCAGTGATCCAAGTTAGTGTAATCACTGAGCAAAATTATAAGCTAGAACTAAGATCAAGCAAAAGTAATTAAGAGGCCCACTGAACAGTCCAGGGGGACAAACCAGTGCAAATCGGCTTTGGAACCCTTTTTCTCTTTTCAGCAGGTAACTTTCTTCCACAAACAGCATGGTGCTCAACTTCCAACAGTGAACAGATAATTAACGGATGCTGAAGGATCTGGAAGCACTCCAAAAAACAAAATTTGGAAGAAGGTAAAAGATAACTTTGCTACTGCTAACAGCCATTTTGACTAGTGTCTACTAATACGAGAAAATAAACAGCATTTTTGGTACAGAAAGTTTGTAGACAAAGGTCAGTCAGGATAAAAAAAAGAGATAAAGGCAACCAGTATGTTTTCCATGTTCCTTAACTTAATCTATGCTAAAAGTAGTCACACAAAAATATGAACTAAATACAGATGTTATAAGAGAATTTTTTTTTCACTCTTACCATACTGAAAGAACAAACTCTGGGATTGAAGAGTAACTGGCCAGATATGGGCCTTTAAAACTAAATGCAAGTAAGGTATAGTCCAGCTGAGCATCACCTGAAATGTAAAAATAAAGGATATGGTCTTTGATTGTCCCAGACTTTATTTTATAATACCACATATACTCTTCTCACTTTCTTTATATCCATTTTAACTCTTTAAATATTCTTCAGGCCCTTGATTTCTTTGTTTCACTGCAGATTATTCTTTTGATTTGATCATAAAAATGCTCCCTATGTATCACTGCTTGGAATTTTTTCAATTTCCTTTCCAAAAATACCTTGAAATTGTAAAGTATTTTTCTCCAAGTTCCATGAAATCCTTTGCAGTCATAATTTTATTCAAATACATGAAAAAGCAAGTATCATGATCCTTATTTAAATGGCAAGGGAACTGAAATATGAATAGGGTAAGCAACTAAACCAAGGAGAGAAATTACATGAAGCAGTCAAAAACATACATTAGATCCTGGACTCCAAAGTTTAGCTGCAAGAATCCTCATCCTTCACATCCTGGATTTCTCATCTGGCTTTCAGCAGTCTGCTTGGGAGTCTATTTCAGTATGATTTTATTGCTTATTCTGACTACATTTTCCTAAAACTAATTCCATTTAACTCCTTTTCTTTTCTTTTTAAATTAGCTTCATTATGTATGGTCATATTCCTCCCTAGCTTAAACCTAAATAAAAGTAGTGCAGTGGAAAACTCTTTCCCCTGGTCTCCATGAATCTCTTGAGACAGCTCCCTGTCACATGTCCTGTGACAGGGACAAACAGTCCCTGTTTTTCAAGTCTTATAAAAAGGCCTCACAACTTCAGAAATTGATTATTAAAGTATTGTTTTAATGAAATGATGATGATGAGGGTTACCGCATCACTACCTTTTAATTCTGTCAGTTTTCTCAGTTCTGGAAAAGTGTAGATGTGTATGAGGGGATTCAGCTTCCGGTCGGAAAAAGCCACCACTTGGCTGTTGGCATTTGCTGCAAAGGCTCCCACCTGGCCAGTCTGACACTGCACTGCTCTTGTCTTCTTTGTTTTGATGTCCAGGAAGAGGATGTAATTACCACAAGGGTAGCAGACAGTCTGATTGCTGACAAAGGCCAAGTTCTTGTTGGAGAACCCCTGAACCCAACTGCAAACAGAGTAACTGAATGTTAAAATATGAATCAGACACACATTTCTCAAAATACGGTGCAAAAGGGAATGTTGTAGCCTAAGTTACACTGAACTGATGACTGGGATTTGCTAGACTCATCCTCATACCAGTGTTGCAAAACCACAACAACTAAGATCTGGTATTAGGAGTCACTAGTTCACTGTTTCCAAAAACATACAGTCAATGTTACCCTGACGGTGCACAAAGGACTGGCATAAGAACTTGGAGAGATGCTTTTATTTCTTTCAGTTTTCACTAAAATTAAAAGTCAGCCAAGTTCACAGGCTCTGGCTTCGTACTCACATATCCCAGCAAAGGGAATAACTTTATTTGGAAGAATTGCATGGGTACGATCTGTAATTGGGACCCAATTGTGTTTGCTTAACCTTTTTGCACTTTCATAGCTCATCTCATATAATTAAAATAAAAGATATAAAGGTATAGCTTCTGTTTTTATGAAGCAAACCAGGAAGACTGTTCCGCTTTAAAGACTCCAGTACTTTAACATGGTAAAACTCAGGAATGTAAACAGGATGTGTTACACAAGCACTGAAATAAATTACTGAAGAGGCCTCTGTTTATGAGCTTACAACATGTCAACAAATTCATAAGTGCTTGCAGATGTTTTTACTTTTCAAAAAGTGTGTGGACAAACATTAGGGTCATCTTACCAAAGGGATTTGCATTTACCACCAAGTGAGGATGTCAGTTTAGCCTGCTGGCACCACGGCAGGAAAGTTCCAGCAGTGTAAGAGATACCCTCTGCTACAACACTGCTGTTAGCATCCTCTCTTTGAATAATTATTCAGAAACATCCCACCTGTTTCCCACCTTTTTCCAAATCAGAGAATTTGACTGGGAGAGACCTTTGTTCTCTGCAGTGACCAGAAACATTTTTATGCTCCTTTCACAAACATAAGTCAGTCATAAAATCAGATCAGTTGCTGGCCCTTTGTACTCTTCAGAGAAGATGGTACTAAAGCCTCAGCACTCTCACTTAGGAACATTTTAAAATTACTGGTCTTGAGATAAATTTATGTCCAGCAATAACTTCCCATTATCTTCTCTGAGGAGTTTCTGCTCTAGGCTTCTTTTGCTATGTAGGAGTCAAGTGGAGCAAGAGAGGAGTGGGAACATGGACAATGTGCTTGTGGAGATGAACTGAAAGCCATGGCAACAGAGGAAATATTTCAGCTGACAATGTTTTCCTGGGCCTTCCTTCGTTCAAGAACAGTTTTTATGGGGTGCCACGGCACATGGGACCCCTCTGAACACACTTACAGAACTAGCTCTGTGCTTTTCTGCAACATTAGCTCTCAATCGGTGGAAATTAAGTATTTCTGTTTGTGGAGGTAAAATGGAATCTAGAAAACTTGTACACAGGGATAAATTAACGGGGGTGACAATGCAATTTATCATTCGTACAAACCCAGTAAAGGCCTAAGGGGCCAAGGATTCAGGCTGTTATATTAAAGAGATAGATAGAAAGATGATAGATAGATAGATAGATAGATAGATAGATAGATAGATAGATAGATAGATAGATAGATAGATAGATAGATAGATAGACAAACTACAGTGTGAGTGAGCACGAACTGGAACAGGCTTTTTCAGACTGCCACCCCTAAACCACATCACCCAGCACCAGATCGAGATTCAGGCTGTGGAGTCTCCCTCACCGGACTCTCCCAGAACCATCTGGATGTAATCCCACAAACCACGCTCTGGGATGACCCTGCCTCAGCAGGGTTGGAGCAGGTGCCCCACTGCGGTCCCCTGGACCCGCCCGATTCCGCGACCCTGTCATCTGCGCCATGCTTCTTTCTCTCTCCCCCCGCGCTGTCCTGCCAGACCCCGAGAGCTCAGCCTCCCTCCTTCTCCCTGTCTGACCGCCCTATTCGCAGCGCAGCACAGCACACGGCGCACCCAGCGGGGCTCAGGACCGTGAGGGCTCCGCGCCGCCCGCCCCCACCTCACGTCCAGGGCGGCTCCCGCCGAGCCCGGCCCCGCCGCCATCCCCGCGGCCGCGGCGCCCCCGCGCCCTGGCAACAGCAACGCCGCCCGCCATTGGCCGGGCTCGCAGCCCGCAGCTGATTGGCCCGCGCCCCTGCGCCAGCCAATCAATGAGCACGGGTGGGTATTTAAGAGCCCAGGGGCGTCAATGACCCCTCTCACTTGAGCATTGAGAAGTGTGAGGGGTGTTCTATAAGCTCTTATTGCTGATAAGATGGTGTCGTTCTGCCCCTGAGCCGCTGATATCTGTGCCCTTTCACCAGGGCAATCATTGCTGCTCAATCAAGTGTAGGAGTGCGCCAGCCTTGGCGGAGGGGCTGTGGCTTCCATCTCTTGGTCACTCTGTGTGTCCCTGTGCCTGCTCCAGTGCCATCTGCCCGTCTATTTGCAGGACAGCTGTGCCTGTATTCCCACTGCCTTTTGTGTCTTTCTGGAGTCGCCACCTGTGAAAAACGCTAATCACTTGGTTTTTAAATTTTTAAAAGTTTAATAATAATAAAATGGTTATAAAAACAGTAATACAGTTATAGTAATAAAAATTTAGAGTTAGGACAAATACAAGACAATAAAAAGCAAATAATGATGAATATTTGCATGCTCTTGGGTACTTAAGTTATGACAAGCATGTTTTGTGAACAAAGGAATAACCTTTAAAAACCATACACTGTTGCATATTCATACATACATCATGGTTATGCATACATTCTATTTAAAATAAGAACTTTTGTCTGTTATATGTAAACTATTTTCCCCATGGCGTCTGAGTCTGAGTAAGGCTTGAAGAAATTAGCTTCTTTTGATAAGAGAACCATCGATTCCGCTTCTCTGGAAGATTTAAGTGTTCTGGGACTGTTATCTCAAAGTGAGTATCTCATTCTTTTTTAAAAAAAATTCTCCACATACATAGTTTTTATTTTAACATTATGTTATAACTTAAAACTATATTTAACACACAACCTAAGAGAATTAATACAGCATAACTTTCTAACATTACACATATAATATTCATTTGCAAAAAGCCAATCATAAAATATGCATTTCTCACACCCTCCCTAAAGGTGTTCAGCAGGGGTCTAGATCTGGTGCTGGATGATATGGTTTAGGGGTGACAATTTGACTTGATGATCTTGAATGTCTCTTCCAACCTTGATGATTCTGTAATTCTACAAGATACAAAAGTTATTCTTGGATCGTGTACAATAAAGCTCCTAAAGCTTCAGAGGGAGCTGAGAAGTTTTCCCCAGAAAAAAAAGAGAAAGTACACCTGCAGCCTTTTCCTCCGTACTTGAAGCTTTTAGCCTGGTAACACAGTAAGAACCTCCAAGTATTTAAAAATTTTGATTTATTTTTCTAAGGGAGGATTGTTATTTATCACATGGTGCTTATGTTAGCTTGCTGTCACTTCCCTGTACAGTGGCAGTGTGCAGTTTTGCAATTCTGATGTGCACTCACAGTGCTAGAGGGCAATGCATGGGGAGTGGCATTTCTGTCCAGAGGCAGCAGGACAAACCCATTCCTTACCTCTTGTCTGCACAGGCACTCGGCATGCCAGGCAACAGCAGGAGAGAATGTGGAAGTGGGTTTATTTAATTTGGTACTTTAGAGGGCTATTGTAGCATGTGGGTCTTGTGATGCTGGTTTGAGTTCCTACATGCCTGTCTCCAGGCTGTGAGTTTGCAGACTGCCTGTGTGTTTCATAATTGCTATGAGAAATTTCAAATCAATTTTCTCTATTTTCATCACCCAAAATTTTGCTGAATCTTTGCTGAGGATAGGTACTTAGAGGGATAAGGACTATGTCCTCTAACATAGTTTTGGGGTGGGTTTTTTTTTGTTTTTTTTGGTTTTTTTTTTTTTTTTTTGTTGTTGTTGGTTTTTTTTTTTTTATGGTAGGAGAAGTTATTTTGTTGGCAAAGAGTGCCTTATGTACAGGTTCTGTTTGCCTAGGGCATGGGAGACTTGTGCAACAAATCACCACTCCCTTTCTGTGCTGAGCTGCTTAATATATATATAACCAAGTAGCAGTGACTCCACAAAAATCATGTTCCTCCATTGCAATGGATAATGGTGTCAAGGTCATGGTTGTGTTACTAGTGACCATCTTGGTGTTTATCTGCAGATGAGATCACCACTGGAAATATTGATCTTTGTGACCTGGTGTCTGAGGCCCAACTCCAGTGATAAAACCAAACCAAAACAGGTAGGACTTGCCCCCTGTGTAAGCATGGATCCACTGATGAGACTGGAGAATGCTCTTTTAGCCTGGGGGTTTGACAGAGGAGTATGCAAAGCCAGGAAGGCCAGGATTTTCCCTTTGGCAAGAGCAGGATTTTCTCCCTTTGGCAAGAGCTGTGCCAGCCCACTGGTCCCTACAAATGTGCTGTTTCCTATTAATGTACAGTGCCAACCTGAAGATTGGTGTGTGGAGCCACAGGAAGGGAATCACTTTACCTCTGTGGTCAGAAATCAACTTGGACACTGTGTGTATATATGAAAACCATTAAGAGGAAAGCATCTCCATTTCCTTTATTATACTTCAAGGAAAGCTGGTACAAGGAAGGCCCTGGTGCCCTAATCTCAAGTGAAGAGGGAGCAAAGGGATGGAGGAGACTGCAATCTGTGCTTTGGTTCTTTCTTTTGCTCTGTGCACACGCTGATGGTCCCACAAAGATCCTGTTTGCAGAAGCAAGCATGAAAGCCTCTATAACTGCACTGTAGTAATTAAGTTAGATTTAACTTTTGCTATGCTCTGTTGTTTGCTGGGTTATTGTCTCCTCTCGGGGTTTTTATCATGAAGCAGGACAGATAAACTCTTCTTGTTACCCTCAAGGTGGGGTTGGATGGGGTTTTGGAGGGCGGTAGGTGGTGCAGGGGGAGGCACTGAGGGGAACCTGGTGCCTCAGCAGCTGCTGCTGGCACTGCTTACATACACCTGGCCCGTGAGGTGGAGTCCGGCCGTGGGTTTCCTATCTCCGGGGGAATGCCTGAGGTGTTTGTGTAGTTCTTTGTAAACGGAGAAGGAGAGCACGGGCAACAGCCGAAGAGTGCCCGTCCCAGCTGGGTGGGGCGGCGGCCAGCTCAGGGAGCCGGCACCGGGCAGGCTGTGGGGCAGCAGCGCTGGCCCGGGCCGGGCGGGAGGCGGGGACGGAGGCGGGGCCGCACACCCGTTCCGCGGCGGGCGGCGCCGGGGCCGGGCTGCGGAGGGGCCGTCACGGAGCGGAGCCCTCGCGGAGCGGACTCGTCGTGTCGGGATGTCGGGCGATCACTCCCGCAGCCTGGGCAAGGGTAAGCGGCACGGGGCCGGCACGGCTGGGCGGCTGGCGGAGCGCCGGCGGTCACAGCCCCTCTGCTCTCCCCTCAGGCAGCGCGGCGCCGGGCCCGGTGCCCGCGGGGCTGATCCGGCTCTACAGCATGCGCTTCTGCCCCTTCGCGCAGCGGACGCGCCTGGTCCTCCGCGCCAAGGGCATCAGGTGAGCTCCGCCCCGCAGCCCAGGCCCGGCTTCCTCTGTGTGCTAAATTCAACATCCCTGGACGAACCGCTTGGGGGGACGCTCCTGTGCGTGATTTTCCTCTGGAGCTTGTATAAGTAGGGTGTGTACGAAAGGCCCTGAGTAAAGGCCCAAAGTAAAAACCCCAAGCTGATTTTCTTTTATTATTCTTGCCTGTGATAGCTTGCCCTGAGTAAGTCTGACTAGAGACATAACACGCACGGTTTGTTTTTGATGTGAGTGGCCGTGAAAATTCTGGAAGCTGTAAATATTTAGTGTTTCTGTTGTGCCACTGCCCAACAAAACACACTAGTGAGTGAATGACGTTTTTAAAGGAGGAAATGTACTATGTTCCCATAACAGTGTCTTGTTCTTGTGCTGTAGTAAGTTAATAAAATACAGTGATTGTGCTTGTTTCTTTTTCATGATAGCCATTTCAGCATTCTTGAATGGTGTCGAATGTGTCCCCCAGGTACAAATTAAAATTAATTGTTTTTTCCATCTTTTTGTAGTCCTGCCAAGTCCAAGGCCTGCCAGTGGTTTGTCAACCAACACAGGGCTGGGAGTTCATGTTGGAATAGGGAATGCTAAGAGGTCTCTTCATATTAAGATGAAAGTCGAGTTAGTTAATTTTGTTTTTTATATGGGTGTTTTGGTTTTGGAAGAGTAGATGCAATAAAACCTCTATGTTAGTTTAATTATGTTTTTATTTAGTGTCTTTAGACTGATTTTGGAGCTGGAAGATTTGTTGTAGCATAGTGATTTTGGAGGGGTTTTATGGCTACCTAGATGTGATAGTTGCCTTCTGGTAATTTCTCAGTTGTTTTGAAGGTTCAGCTATGTTTAGCAGACCTTTGCGCTGAATTGGAATTTTTTGGGGTCACACATAACTCAGCATATAACTTCTGGTTTTTTAATATAGACATATTTCCCATGTATTTTTTTTAATCAATATCTTTACCCTTACCCTAAGCACTTGTTCTTTATGAGGCCATAGGTTGTGAAGATAAGTAGGGAGGATGCTCTCCTGATTTGCTCTTTGGCGTAAGGGCAGGTTAAGGTTGAGGTGTATTTCTTAATTGAGGTGTAGCTCATTTGCAGTCAGCTGCTTTTTTCTTAGACTGCCCCTGAACTCACATGTGATAAGTGTGCTGAGTTCTAATATTTGTTTTTAGCCTGGTAGTTGGGTGCTTGTTAAACTAATAAAAAACATGCATGCAGTCTGCAGACAGCTCATTGCAAGTCAGTGTGTGCTTTTTCCAGCAAACTGTGGCAGTATTTCTGGGTCAAAGGATTAGACCTGCAAACAGCTTCAAAGAAAACAGGGGAGTACAGAGGGTTGAGCCTCTGAAGTACTGAACTGTTGAGGTGACTGCATTTCACCATGGTATGGAGGGGACTGGAGCAGAACTGAGCCTGTCTGGGTCTTGTTTCCCTTGCTCTTTTAGCCATGAAGTAATCAACATCAATCTGAAGAACAAACCTGACTGGTACTTTGAGAAGAACCCCTCTGGGCTGGTTCCTGTTCTGGAGACCAGCAA